GGTCCAGTCTATTCGGTGTTCTGTATGCTTCTTGAACCTTCAAAGGAATATCTTTCTTTAGGTTGGGAAAGTTTTTTTCTATAATTTTATTAAATATATTTTCTGGACCGTTGAGCTGCACTTCTCCTTCTCCTACTCCAATTATTCTTAGGCTTGGTCTTTTTATTGTGTCCCATATTTCCTGCATGTTTTGTGATGAGAATTTGTTAGTTTTGCTGTTTTCTTTGATCAGTGTGTTTATTTTCTCTATGGTATCTTCAGTGTCTGATATTCTTTCTTCTATCTCTTGTATTCTGTTGGTAGTACTTGTCTCTGTAGTTCCTGTTCATTTCCCCAGATTTTCCATCTCCAACCTTCCCTCGGTTTGTGTTTTCTTCATTACTTCCATTTCATTCTTCAGGTCTTGAACCATTTCCCTTACCTGTTTGATTGCTTTTTCTTGCTTCTCTTGGTTTTCTTGGGTATCTTTGAACTATCTATTCATTTCCTCTACCTTTTTGTTTGTAGTCTCTAATTGTTTATAGCAGTTTTTCACCTCCTGTTTTAAGGTCTATTATTTTCATATAATTCACTTTTGAGTCGATTTCTTCTAATTCTTCTGGAGTAGGGTGTACAATTCTTATTTCAGGATCCCTGGATTCTGGTGATGTCATGTTGCCTTTCAGGTTGTTGGAGGAAGTCTTGCATTGGCGCCTTCCCATATCCTCCTTCAAATGGAGCCAGGTGAGGCCTGGTGTCTTGGTCCAGTCACTGAGTCTCTGGGTATATCTCTTCAGTGTAGAAGCAGGGACCGTCCCGTCGAGCTGGAACTCCTCAGGCACCCAAACATGAAACATGGACGACCCAATGATGTCTCTCCTGGTGCCTGGATATGATCTCCTGGTTGCTTGGGTGGCTCGTAAACAAAGGGCCTACCTTGCTTGCTGCAGGCAGACTATTGAGGGAAAGGAGCTACCACCCTCCCGATTCGGATTCGGTCCCAGGGCCAGAAAAGGCTGAGCTGGGAAATGTTATGTGGTCAAAGAGGGGAGGGAGTCAGACGGAGGGGGGGAGGGTTGTGGATGCAAGCTGGGTGGGATAGGAAGAGAGAGGAGGTATTGGGCAGTATAGCCCCTGCAGGATGACCAGGAAATGTAGGAGGGATGAGGCTACAAGTCAAAATTTAAAGGTGATTGTTTAAAAATTAATTGGACTTCTCTTACTTTAGAACTGTCTAGAATGTTAGGGTGGTCCAACAGTCTACAGTGCCAGACAAGTTTAGAAAACGATCATTAAGTATAGTGTTCAAGGACAGGAGAAAATGATGGCCTTAATGACCTTCAATCATGCACACACTGAGGACCTACTAGACACCAATGTTTAGTTTTAAACCAGTGTCTACATAGATAGCCCTTTTTAAGCTACTTGTAACAAAACCTAAACCAAAACTTATAAAACTTGAAAAGGGAAAGCTAGGAATGAGGGTATTGATTGAAACATCAAGGGGAGAAGAGAAAGAAAGTGATAATCAGATAATCCTACATATGTATGAAATCACCAAATCGTATATTTCTTCAATAAAATTCATTAGAGAAAAGAATGGGAAATTTCTCAAGGATGTGGGGAGATGTCTCAACCAGTGAAATAGTTACCTTGGAAGTAGGATGATCTGAGTTCAGTCTCTAAGCCTCCAAAGAAACAAAAAATGGTGAAATATAATTACAATCCCAGGGTGGGGGAGATGGAATTAGCAGATACTTGATGCTCACTGATTCCCAGCCTTGGTTCCTTGATCAATTCCGCATGTGAGAGTCTCTGCTATAAAAAATATATATCAGGCTTGAGGAATTAAACCTGCAACAGTTTTTTGTCTCCCCTTATACATATACACACATGATCTCATTCACACAAGCATACATACCCATACACAAAGAAAAAGATGAAGGGAAAAAAGAAAAAAAAAGAGGACTCTTTTATTTATTTATTCATTTAATTTATTTATTTTAGTTTTTCGAGACAGGGTTTCTCCGTAGCTTTGGAGCCTGTCCTGGAACTAGCTCTTGTAGACCAGACTGGCCTAGAACTCCCAGAGATCCTCCTGCCTCTGCCTCCCGAGTGCTGGGATTAAAGACGTGCGCCACCACTGCCCGGCAAGAGAACTCTTTTAATAGGAGCAAAAGGACTGATATGAAAGCATTTGCTTCAGACTCTAGAAGCTGATGTGAACAGTCAGCAGGATTGACTTTATAAATAAAGACATTATTTACTAGTAGTCCTGAGCCAACATGGATACTGGTTTCTTTTAGTTTCTGAACAGAACCAAATACTTTAGAGGAAGATCAATGTGCTCACTACCTGCTTCTCTTTCTTGTTCAAAAAATAAATCTAATAAATGCGCTTCCACATTCTGATTTTTTAAAATTTGGTAGACCTTGTCCTTAAATATAGGACCTGAACTATAAAACACATGTGAAATAATCAAATATTAATTACATCCTCGGAAAGATTTGTAGTGGGGAGAGGAAATAGTTTTGTCAATACTGTTTAGTGTTAGACAAACTTCTAGAATACTGTTAAACTGTCCTTTTGCAATTTTATTTATTTTTGTGTAAGTTTCTGCTTAGGTTAATCCAGATTAATTAATAATGATGAAAAAAATTCCAAGCAGTAAACACTAACCTAATCCAGGATGGTTTGCCTATTATTTCAGATGAGATTACAGAAATTCTGGAAGCTGGGATATTACCAACAACCTTCTGCTTGGATATAAGTGAAGGGAAACAGAAAGCTCATTCACTACATCAGAAAAGCAGTGCAGTCAGCCATCAGAGAGACCTTTTTTCTCTAACAATTCCTCACAGTGAAGTGTGATCCTGTTTCCATGAGTCCTCAGATTGAATTCTCTCTCTATAAAACCTCAGGCTGCATCCTCTGACTGAAACCTCAAATGACATCTGTCTCTCTGAAGCCTCAGACTGATCTAGAACTCCTGTCTCCTGCCTTATACTTTTTTTTTTCACCCAACCATATCACTCCTGTCTCTGCCCTCCTAGTGCTGGGATTAAAGACATGTAAGCTCTAATTTTCTTTTGGATAGATACAATCTGATATAACTCAGATAGCCTTGAACTCACAGAGATCTGTCTGCCTCTGTCTCCCAAGTGCTGGGATTAAAGGTGTGTGCCCTGACTACCTGGTCTCCATGACTGACTTAATTCTGCACTCTGATCTTCGGGCAAACTTTATTTATTATATTACATACAAAATATCACTATAGTCAAGGACATCCAGAGACTAGTCACTCCTGAAAACATGAACAGAAATATGCTTCGGTTTAATTCTGTGTTCTGCTTCTTACCTTCCTTAAAGTGGACAGCATTTGTCTTGGAGATAACCATATAATACAGAAGACCCATCTGTGTCTTACATTGAATAGCTCCATGTCTTTCGGTATGAATAAGGTACACTGATTTAAACAAAAAGCAAGACATACCTTTTTACAAAACTCACCGCTGCAAATCTACTATTCTAATTGCATTTCCAGAGTGTGCACACTATGGTAGAGGAGAGATTACATTTTAAATTTTCTTGAATGTTCACTGACTGTTTAATTGGGAAAGAAACCTCATGGTAGAGGCTGTTTTGTCAATAGGTGGCAGATACATAATTGGAAAATAAAGTTCTCACTTTTTCTTAAACATTTTTCTTCCTAGATTTTTCTGTTGGCATTAACAGTGGCATACATAGTCAAATCAATATCAGCAAATTATATGATTTCCATGCTCACACATATAGAGAGGCAATTCAATATCCCCACATCTGTAGTTGGACTTATCAATGGGAGTTTTGAGACTGGTGAGTTACATTTACTTATTACTGTGTATTTATATTCTCTCCTAATTTCCTGCATAAAATTATCTAAACAGACTGAATTACATGCTTTCTGATGTGATTGAATGGCCTGGTCTGGGTGTGGAGTAACCATTTATTTAAATGTCCCCGTGATAATATCTATTCCTTAAAATATACCCTCATATGGCCTCTTTTTCTGATTATTGAAATAGATTTAGAATATTAATATCTAATTCCATCACTAGATAACTCAGACAGACATTAAGGCCCTTTTCAAGGCATTTTAGAAGGTTTCTGTGGGAGCCTGGAGGAACTAGTGTTCTGAAGGAAAGAACAAATGCTTCTCTGCCTCCACTGTGCCTGTGAAGTTGGCAGCTCTCCATTCATAGATACTGAGGAAGATGAGGATGCGTTCCCGTGTCTGAGTTGTATCAGACACAATTCCAAAGATGTAATGAGGGTAATGTACTGGAATATGACATTAAAAAGGGTAAAGGAGGGAAAGATGCCTTCTATAAACAAAGTCACCTGGAAACCTCTTGTTCTTAGTTTATATTTCCTTCAAAGTAAATTTTTTTTGATGCATTCAACCAAAACAGCCATGAAAACCAGGACTGTGAAGTAACTAACCCACATTGAGGTTGTTCCATCTTGTCTCCCAGGATAAAAGTCTTACATGTGTCCTAGGTTTTCCCAGTGCTGTCAGGATGAATGTCTTACATAGACTTTTTATAGATTCAGTCGTGTTCTAGTGTGTTAGATGCAGCACGTGCTGTCCATTCATTATCCAAGGTCCTATGGAAGACATTGAGCTAGGGAAGACAATACCCTGAAGGGGAAAGGTGATCCGGGAGGAGAAATGGACAGGTAAATGTGATGGGGAGATGTGTCAGAGGGTGAACCATCAAATAGTTTGTGTTTGGATCAAGTCAGCCCTGTGTTATGGAAAGGTGTAAGTTGTTAGAACATGAGCCTGGAGAAGTGTGCAGAGATGAAAAATGGGTAGAGACTATGGCCTGCTCTGGAATGTGTCTTTTATCCTTCTGGTGCCAGAGAGCCAGTATGGGGTTGGAAGAGGGTCATGATCATTCTACTCTAACGACTCCTATTGAAAACCCAATACCACCTGATTCTAGGATATTTTAATTGCACTAAATGAAACTATATAGGTCAAAAGGAATGCAGTTATATTGAAATATAATTATCAGAACACTTAAACATCTTGCAAGAAGGAATATTCATGCATTTTAACAAGACAAAATTATCTACATCTGATTTTCTACTAATTTTTGGCTGCATGGCATTTTGCAGTATTTACAACAACCACAAGGTTATAAGCCTTTTGAAAACAGAATGATGACTTCTCAAGTCACTATTGCTTTCTATACTACCACAAACATAAATGCTAATGTCTAGTTAATGCTTATTGAAAACAATTCTTACCCAAGTTCATGGAAAACTCTTATTTCTGTGAAATTAGTGGTTTTTTAAATGAAGGTAAAAAAAAGTCCTAATTAAAGGAGATAATGATGATACCAAAACAGACTGGCAGGTTACTTAAGGGAAGTCTTAAATGCAATCATTGACCAGTGAATGCAGCAGTTGGTAGGCTTTTCCCTACCAAATGGTAGTTTTGCCAGCAACCTTCCCCAGGCCTAGACAGCACCTGACCTTTTCCCACACACCTTCCCACCAATTATTTGAGGGGGATAGAAAGGCAATGTAAAGGCCATCTAAGCCTAATATGAAGAAGGGAGGCTTTTCCTTTCAAACAATAGAGATTTCAAACAAGATTCTGTGCATTCATGGTTGTTCATCAATAGACTAGAAAGATTCTCAGAGTTCAAACCATTGGTGTCCTGGAACATTACCTTCTGCATGATGATCTCAATAACAGGTCTCAGAGAAAGAAAGCATAATAAATAGACATATGTAGGTCATATACCATTCAAAATAATGCACCATCTCTTCTATGTAGACAGCAGACTAGAGAGAAATAGAATTGAAAGAAAAACAGTCTTCAAATATCTTTGAGATATTTAACATCACTAAAATATTTTCTATGCCATTAAAAAGTGTGTTTGAGTTTTCTGATCCTTACTTTATATATAGTATGAGCACACTAAATATTCACCAAACTAAAAGTATGAGATTTGTAGAGTGCTTATTTATATATTTGTTTCTTTTAAATTACCCTTTCTTCTGAGAATAATACTAATTAAATGAACCTAAGTATCACATATATTAGACAGATTTCGACTAATTGATGTCTAGTTCTTTTATTTACTTTTTATTTTTAGGAAGTTCATAGTAAGATTCCCAGACTGGTCTTGAAATCATTCTGTTGCCCAGGCTTTGATCTTTCAGACTTACTGTCTTACAACCCTCATGACTGAGGATGGCAGGTCTGTGCCACAAGACCATACTTTTTATTTCATTTCTTAAGCACATTTATCAAAGGCCCATAAGTCAGAATGTGATTTCCAGCTGAGTTTTAAACCTAAGCTTTCTACTAAACCACAGAGATGAATTTTTGAAGTTTTGACTCCTGCAATCTAGATCTATGATGCAGTTGGAGGTTAGGATTCTGATATTTCTGTTAACAATATTGTCTGGTCTAAGGAAGGATGAGACAGTATAAGCAGACATCATGATTGGCCATATTGAACAATTAAAGAGCTGAATACTAAGTAAAAAATATGAATCCATTTGATTCTGCATAGAGTTAGAGTAGGCATGAGAAAAGAGGTCAGAGGTGATGTGTAGGCTGACACCTGCTTTTTAATGCTTTACCAAGAGCTGGATACTCCTGAATTGAGGTAAGACTCCTCAGAGAGACCCGACAGCTCTGCTCTCTGGAGCAGAGACGCCAGGCTCCGCTCTCCCAGGCAGCTCCGACCCAGGATGGACGTAGGCTAGAATCTTTCTGGTAAGTGCACCTTGGGGTGCTTACACAGATTATTAGAAATGGGCTAATCCAGCTGTGAGAGTTAGGTGAGAAGAGGCTAGAGATAATGGGCAAGCAGTGTTTAAAAGAATACAATTTGTGTGTCGTTATTTTGGGGCGTAAGCTAGCCAGGCGGCCGGGGTGCTCGGGATGCAGCCCCGCCACGCCTATTTCAACAATGAATAGAGCATTTAATATTCTTCAGAATGGAAGAGAACTTTTCATCAGTGTCACAACTGATATGTATATATATATATATATATATATATATATATATAGTGAATTCTTAAGGTGGTTATTTGAACAATGGAGAGGCTGTTGATTACTATCTGCTAATACTTTACTGAAACAATATTTTCATTCCCCTCTCTAGGAAACCTTTTGTTGATTGTATTCGTGAGTTATTTTGGAACAAAACTGCACAGGCCTATCATGATTGGTGCTGGTTGTGTGCTTATGGGCCTAGGGTGTTTCTTAATATCACTACCTCATTTCCTGATGGGACGGTGAGTATTCCAGGCTTTGAGTAAATTTTAGGCAACTCTTCCCTGCATGAAATGAGGCTCAGAATTTCCTTCCTGGAAAGAGCAATGCTCCCCCAAAGTATGGAATGCTAAAATGGAAATTAGAAGATATGGTCTCCACTCTACCAATATTATGTGAATCTTTTGACCTTTGGTCTCCTTAAGGTCCAATCCAGTTCACTATGAAGTGGGGATTTGAAACACTGCTTTCAGGAAGTTGAGACACCTGAATGGATTCTCTGAATTCGCCTAAATTTGTGCTGCATCATTCATCAGGACTCTTTAGACACTCCAGTTACATGGGGTATACTGTGGTATACTGTTTGATATAAGCACAGATGAGCGAGAGATAGAGTAATGTAAATATTAACATTTATTTTCATGTTTAGCAAAGTGTCTTACACAGAAAATTTTAAAATTTAAATTATGTTCTACTCTTTCTGCTTTCTAGAGATAGTTTTAAGTTTTTTCTTTTGCTTGCCTGGGTGTCAAAATGAATATGTTTGGCGTCCTTACCTCATCTTCTTCTTCCTCCTGCCTCCTCTCTACTCTTTTTTGTTGTCAGCATTTCTGTCCTGTTTGGTTCCTGCAATCATTAAGTCCCAAAGAAATCACACAAAGGGCTACATTAGTTATAAACTGATTGGCCCATTAGCTCATGCTTCTTCTTAACTCTTATATTTTATATTTGCCCATAATTTTTATCTTCATTAGCCACATGGCTCAGTACCTTTTTCAGCAAGGCAGTCACATCTTGCTTCTGTGGTCTGATCAGGACTGCAGACAATAAGCTTTCTTCTTTCCAGAATTCTCATTGACCCACTTCTACTTCCTGTCTGGTTATTCCAGCTATACGTCCTTCCTGGCTACTGGTTAATCAGCATTTATTTAAAATACAATAGACAGGATATAGACTATTCTCCCACACCACTTTCTCCTCTTTTTTTTTTTTTTAATAAGAACATCTATAGTCCATTTTTTGGGAATGAGGGAGTATTTTTCCAGGCTATATTTCCTGGTTGGAGGCATTGATAATATTATGGGAACCTAATGAACATTTAGAATTATCAAGTCCTGACTGGAGTATCTTGTGAGTCTTGATCATCTTAGGCAGTAGTCTTGAGGCTGTTCTGGATGTAGAACCCTGACATCTGGGCTATTTGTTCCTACTGGAGATTTCTCAGGTGTTATTTCTTGATTAAACCTGATTTTTTTTTTAACTCAGAATGAATCGAATCCACAGCTTCTCATTTTCTGTGAAAACAAAAGCAAATCCCCTTCTCCAAAGTAACATAACTTTTTGAGTTATTTTGAAGTTAAGGTAGTTTTAAAACACCTAGGTCTTCCCAACCTCCTGCCTTAGACCGGAAGTCCATGCTACCCACAGTGCCCCTTGTTCAGCCAGCATGATAACAAATGCCAGGGTTCCCAGATGGCTTGCTCAGCTGTGTGGGCACCAAGGTCTGTACCAAGACGGCTGTCTGCAAGCAGTGCTGAGCCAGCACATCGTTGGCCAGAGCAATGCGCTGTTCCAGGGAACTTAGAGGAACGCTAAAGGCCCTTGGACACTCAGGGGCTGAGATTTGTGTGGGCTGGGAGGGTCACATACTCTTGCTGTTCAACCTTGTCGGTATTGGAAATGTTTTTCATCCAACATGGATAATTATCGAAAGAAACCCATGACTTCATCTCTTTGACTTTCTACAGAACAGCTACCCAGATTTAAAGCTAAACACTCAGATGCAAAACTTTCAGAACTTGCTAGAAAAATTGTGGCATCATGGAGGGAACTACCAGATGCAGGAAAAAAAGTGTATGAAGCTAATTTTAAGCCTGAATAGAAAGTGTACAAAGAAGCAATTTTAAAAACCAGCTAACGCCAATTCATTTGATATCTTTTGAGAAAGAAGTCAGGCAAAAATGTTTAAAAAGAAAGCTTCGAGTAGAAGAAGAATTAACTTTGCTTGGAAAACCAAAAAGGCCTCGATCAGTATAAAATATTTACATATCTGAAAGCTTCAAGTCTCTAAAGATGAGTCTGCTGAGGGAAAACTGAAGACTATGAATCAGGTTTGAAAAGTCTATCTAGTGATGAAAGGCAAATATATATTCACCTTGCTAAAGATAATAGAAATCCTTATGATAATGAAATAAAGTCTTTGGAAGAGCAAATGGCTGAGGTTGGACAAAGTGGTCTCATCTTTTGCACCGTGAAACAATCCCTGAGAATTAAAAGATAGAAGATGGAGCTGTCTTGTTGAATACATTTCTATCATAACACCAAGCCCTGGCAGTAGAAGATTCTGCAGAATTCTGCTTTTTTATTTTTTATTTTATTTAAAAAAATATTTATTGAAAAATTTATTTATTTATTGAAAATTTATTGAAAAACTTATTTATTTTATTGAAAAAAATTTCTGCTTCCTCCCAGCCTCCCATTTCCCTCCCCCTTCTCCCACCCCTCTCTCCTTCCCCCCACTCCACTCCCCCTCCCTCTCCAGTCTGAAGAGCAGCCAGGGTTCCCTTTCCCTGCCCCGTGAAAAGTCCAAGGTCCTCCCCCCACCATCCAGGTCTTGGAAGGTGAACATCAAAACTGGCTAGACTCCCACAAAGCAGAATTCTGCTTTTTGCTCAGAAATAGGAATGAGACTGCCCATGAATCTGCATGTAGTGGTGGATGAATCATTCTGGGTTTGGTAGAGACCTGAAACATTCCCGATTGTTCCCTGAAGGATGATAGTTATAATTCCCTTGCCTTCTGATTCAGGGGCTATTCTTACATCCATATCCAAATCTCAAGATTTTATTAGGCTTAATTGACCACATTTTAAATTCCTCATTCAGACTTTTTTTTTGTTTGTTTGTTTTCACCTATTTTTTTCTGGTAGGGGAGTGTGTGTGCTTTCATAAAAGGTCAGGAAACAACTCTGAGGAGTAGTGTCTCTCTGCCTACTCTGTTGGACCTGACATGCAATCTAGATTGTCAGGCTTGCACAAAGGCATCTGCACCCCATGGAGGCATCTGGTATTCACAAGATATATATGTATTGAAAGAAAATCTCATGTAGCTCATGCTGTCCTTGAATTTTGGTGTAGGAGGGTCATCTGTCTATGTGTTACTTTTATTGATTAATAAAGAAACTGCAAAAAAAAAGAGAAGAAACTGCCTTGGCTTTTTGAAAGAGCAGAATTTTGATAGGTGGAGTAGACTGAACAGAATGCTGGGAGAAAGAAGCAGAGTCAGGCAGACACTATGGCTCTCCTTTCCAAGATGGATTCTGGTTAGATTCATGCTAATAAGCCACAGTCAAGTGGCGATATACATTAATAGAAATTTGTTAATTAAGATGAGAGAGTTAGACAATTTGAGCCTTGAAATAATGGGCCAGGGAGTGTTTAAATTAATAAAGTTTCTCTAATTATTTCGGGTAAAGCTAGCTGGGTGGCTGGGTGGGACAAAAGGCAGATGGCTCCACTAATACAACAGAATTTATTCTGTATTTAAAGACAATCATGAACTTCTTATTTTTTTGTCTCCATCTCCTGAGTACTAGAATTATAGGCCTGATCCATCATGCTTGGTTTTATTGAGTGTTTAGGGTCAAACCCAGGATTGTTGTTTGCCAGGCACTATTGTACCAATTGAACTACATCCTCATCTCTAGATTTCTCTATCTGTGAGTAAATGGCCATTTCCCTTTTTAATTTTGACCTTTTTCTGCCATTTTATTGTCAATTTGGAATAAATAGATGTTGAATGCACAACTGCATGTTGAGTGGATAATGAGTGAAATTAAGGATATTTTTGCCTCTCAGTGTTTTTGCATGGAACTGAACATATGCACATGGAATTAAAGTTATATTTTACCTTCTATGTTATTCAAATTAATGTCAAGAAATATTTGACAATTATTAAGTTTTCCCACCTTCTGACAAAGGTGGTAATTCTTTGAAGATGACTGGTCCTCACTGGTTCATGAGAAGGGAGACACAGGCTCCTGTCCACACTTAACTGGAAAGCACTGTGGGGACATCCAGGCGGCAGTTCTGGGGGTAGCAGTTCTGACTTCTGTGCTATAGTACGCAGCTTAAAAATTAGAATGTTGAACACTTATATCTAAATAAATAAATAAAAAGGAACAAAGGAAATCCAGCATGCATACAATCAGAAGAGTCTTAGCTGGACACGTTCTCCTCTACTCTTGAACTCTGTCATTTTCTGACCAAAGTTCATTAGCCCATTTTCTTTCTCATGACATGGCCTTGCCACAAGATGGATTCTGTCACCTCTTGTGAAACATGAACTCTTTTTCCTGTTGAAATTAATGAGTGCATTGTGAGAATAATTGTTGGAATTCTCAGAAAGGGAGAATATGACCACAGCTCAGAAAATACAGAGCAACTATTTTAATTTGTTGTGTTGTTTTGCATCTCTCTAAAGCATTTATCTTCTCAATGATACTTTAGTGAGTCTCTTTCTCTTTCTTGCTTTTGTTCTTTATCTCTCCCCACTGGTTTCTAGGAAATAGTCATTTAGAAATCACAGAGCATTGGTATTAGAGAACCTGAAATCTATTTCACCTACATGTAGAGGCTTGAGAGGCTTGAGAAGGGGCACTTAGGGCTGGAGAGATGGCTCAGGGGTTAGGAGCACTGGCTGCTCTTACAGAGGTCCTGAGTTCAATTCCCAGCAACCACATGGTAGCTCAAAACCATCTATAATGAGATCTGGTGCCCTCTTCTGGTGTGTGTGCACAGACATGCAGGCTAAATAAATAAATAATTAAAAAAAGAAATAACTGTGCCTCTTGATAAAATGCAGGTCAATTATTTGGGGGCTGGAGAGATGGCTCAGCGGTAAAGAGCATTGCCTGTTCTTCCAAAGGTCCTGAGTTAAATTCCCAACAACCACATTGTTGGTCACAACCATTTGTAATGAGGTCTGGTGCCCTCTTCTGGCCTTCAGGCATACATGCAGAAAGAATATTGTATACATTATAAAGAAATAAAGAAAGAAAGAAAGAAAGAAAGAAAGAAAGAAAGAAAGAAAGAAAGAAAAAGGTGCAATTTTGGTGATAAGCAATTTCTTTTGTTCATATTTATTATTTAAATATTTATTATTTAGATATACAATTATATAAAATTATTTAAAAATAATTAGTAAATATTTATTATTTTTATTAATTCCAGTTTTTAAAATTAGGTTGTGCCTTTTGTTTGCTTTTTTGTTTTCACTGTGTTTTGTTTTTAATTCAGATAGGCACTTATGAAGCACAGTCTCACCTCAAACTAGCTACATAGCTAAGGGGAACTTTAGCTTCCTCCTCTCCAGTGCTAGGATGGCAGGCAAGGACCACCACATTCTGATAATGCATTATGCAGTTCAACACAACAATTACATGTTGAGTTTCATGATACCAATTTCTGTTTCTATTTATTTGTGTGTGTGTGTGTGTGTCTGAGGATGCCTGGTGTGTGTAAGTATTCACATGTAGAGATCAGAGGACCACTTCATGGAGTCACTCATCTTCTTTCACCTTTATATTATTTTCAGGAATGAGCTCATGTTGTAATATGAGCCATGGGCTGCTTCCCACCACCCAGCTAGCTTTACCCGAAATAATTACATGGAAACTGTATTCTTTTAAAGACTGCTTGGCCCATTAGTTTTAACCTCTTATTGGCTAGCTCTTACATATTGATCTAACCCATTTCTAATATTCTGTGTAGCACCACGGGCTGGCTTACCAGGAAAGATCTTAACCTGCGTCTTTTTGGAGTGGGAGAATCATGGCCACTGACTGACTCGGCTTCTTTCTCCTAGCATTTTGTTCTGTCTACTCTGCCTACCTAATTTATTGTCCTATCAAAGGCCAAGCAGTTTCTTTATTAATTAACCAATGAAAGCAACAGATAGATACAAGACCCACCTCCATCAAGATCAGGTCATCACGCTGTGCAGAGAGTTCTTTACCCGCTGAGTCATCTCTCTGGCCCAGCAATGGGATTCATGATGGTCAGAATGACTGCTGTGAACACATCTGTGTGGCCTCTGGGTTCTGTGTTTTTAAGGAATCAGGATTCAGTGATTTGTAGATGCTCTCATTGCCCTCAGGTCCTCATGGTGAATGTTTCCTGTGTCCACACAGATACGAATATGAGAAAATGATCTCACCTTCAAGTAACTTGTCTTCAAACAGCTTCTTGTGTTTGGGAAACAGGAGTCAGAACTTGGCACCAACACCAGACCCAGAAGGTGACTAGTACTTCTTATTGCTTTCTTCTCAGAGACTCAGGCACTGTACACTCTTTTAAGAAGGACTTTGAATGTGACACTGGGTTTAGTAGGCACCTAAGACAAATGAACAATCTTTATTTCCTTCTTCATGGAAGGGAGCTGTGCAATAACATAAAATACTCTGCTCCCTGAGTTTGAATCTATTCAATAAGACTCCTTTGTTTCTTATTGTGGGTATTTTAAAAATAAGCACCATTGTAGAATTAGTACCACAAGGGAAAATGACTTATAAGAACTAGACTTATGATGTGATCTACATGATTTGTCTAATATGGATTTATGTTGCTGTAATAAAACATGGACTAAAATCAACCCAGGTAGGAAAGAGGTCGTCTAGCTTACAAATTGTACCCAATAATGAGGGAAGCTAAGTCAGGAACCTGGAGGGAGAGTACAAAGCAGAGAGTACTAAGGAGTGCCTCATACTGGCTAAGTCCTCTGGGTTGCTCAGCTACCTCTCTCATACAGCCTAGACCCAGCTGACCAAGGATAGTACCATGCACAGTGTTCTGTGAAATCTCACATCAATTAGCCAGGAAGAAAATATCTCATACACAGGCCCACAGGCCAATGGAGGCAGTCCCTCAATTGAGATACTTCTTTCAAATATATCTAGATTTGTGTCAAGTTGATTAAAAGTAGCCATCACAGTGATTATACAATAAGATATACAGACAGAAACTTTCCCAGATCTGTACTGTGTGCCTGAAGCACCATGGAAAAGCAGGTGCATTATTACCGTTCACAACTCATTGATTACACAGTAACTTGTCTTTTAGTCTCCTTTTCCCTCTTTAAGAGAAGCATGGCTTTACAGTTCAACCAAACAGTAGTGGTTCCCTTACTTCCTATGGGCTCATGCACTGTGGTCCTGGATTCTTCCATTGGTAAGCTGTTTTAGTAATTTTTACATCACTGTGATCAAAATTCCAAACAACTCAAGGATGGACAAGTTTGTTTTTACTTACTGTTTTTTTTTTGGGGGGGGGGTTCATTTTATGGTCACTTTCCCCATGTTTATGAGCAGAATTTCATGGTGAGATGAGCTTTGGTTCATGCTGTTCTTCACTTCTTGGTGGGCAGGCAGAATGGTAAACAAGATACAGGAATTGGTGAGACATAATGTCTGTGACATACCAACATGATGACCAACTTCCTCCAATTGACAGCACCTCCTACCTGTCATTTCTTCTCCATACTGCCAGTTTTATGACTCCATCAACAGATCTTATGACTCTTTCAACAGATCAATTCAATCAGTATGTCAGATCCATGGTTAATGGTACTAGTTACTTTTCTTTTAGTTTGATAGACTTCCATGGGAAGTGGTTTTCAATATTCCTGATGCTACAACCCTTTAAAATTTTTACTCAGCCGGGCGATGGTGGTGCATGCCTTTAATCCCAGCACTCGGGAGGCAGAAGCAGGCGGATCTCTGTGAGTTTGAGACCAGCCTGGTCTACAGAGCTAGTTCCAGGACAGGCTCCAAAGCCACAGAGAAACCCTGTCTTGAAAAACCAAAAAAAAAAATTACTCCTTCACAGCTGTAATTTTGCTACATTTATGAATCATATATATACATATTGTCAAGTAGTCTTCACCCCTGTGAAAGGGTCACCCCCAAAAGAGTAGCAAACCATATGTGTAGAATCTAGTGTGTAGGAGGAAGGCTGCTTGTTTGTCCTGGTTGCCCAGAATGGAAATAATCACACAGAAACCATATTCATTAAAACACTGCTTGGACCATTAATTCTAGCATCTTATTTGCTAACACTTATATTAATTTAACCCATTTCTATTAAGCTGTATATTGCCACATGGCAGTGGCTTACCAGCAAAGATTCATCATGCTGACCCTGGCAGTTCCATGGTGTCTCTCTGACTCCACCCTTCTTTCTCCCTGCATTCAGTCCAGTCCTCCCCACCTACCTAAGTTATGTCCTATCAACAGGCCAAGGCAGTTTCTTTATTCAATAATGGTAATGACAGCACACGAGGGGACTCCCACATCACTGAGGAATGAGAATCAGTTATGGCAGGGAAAGTGGTAGTGGGAGCATAAAATCAGGATTTCACATCTCAAGTATAAATAAAAGGGAGAGGAAATAAACTAGAGTAGAGTGAGGCTCCAAACTCTTTAAGGCTATCTCTGGCGACATTCTTCCTCCACCTCCCTAAATATCACATACTAGAAACTAAGTATTTAATACCCAAGCTCCTAGGGGGGCCATTTCCTATCAGAGGACCACATCATGCTTATAGAGGGCCTGATTTGTTCCTAGCACTGTCATCAGATTTTACTCAAACCCCTGTCATTCCAATTCTGTGGAATTGGGTGCCTTCTGTCCTTCTTGGGCATCTGCACATGCTTGGTGCACATATGCTCTTTAAAGTAACACATTTTAAAGAGTATTTTTAAAGTCACATATGCTAAAAGTCCCAACATGTCTAGTGAACACATAGTCTGATACTGTCTCAGCAGGATTGTCTCAGGACAAAACTTCTCCATCTTATGCTAGATCTATGCCACAGAATTTGCAGCAGTCTCCAAAGCTTGGAATGTTGTAACATGAGAGCTGGCTTGTTGGGGTTTCTGTCCTCCCACCAGGTTCCATAGCCATTTAGCCCCAAAGAAAATCACACAGAGGTCATGGCAATGCTCCCAGAAATTATGTCGAGATCAAAATAACTTGAGAGTCAAAGAGCAGCCATCTCTGAAGCTCTGAGCTCAGAAATCTTCTAAGCAAAGCAAGGTGAAATAGTGACCCCAATGCTAGCTTATTTTCATCTTCTGAACTGACCTTTGAAAATCCACTCATTGTGTTCCTTGCATTTTGGTGGATAAGTTAAAATCTTCCATGTGGAGTGCCCCAGGAGATCACTTGAGCCTTCAATGTCTGCTACTTTAGTTCTGCCCTATAAGAGGGTTGAGAGTCATCTTGTGATCTGTAGACAGAAATCATCATGTCTATCAAAGATAAGAATTTGAATGTATAGAGATGGAAATTGATTTTACTTTTAATAGGAATAAATAAGAGTTAGACCTCAGGGCCCAATTGTGCTTAGGATATTTATGGGCATCCACTGATCAATCCAAATGAAAGAGTACTTTGTCTAATTCCCTGAAAACACCAAATCAAGCTTGGCTACAGAGTGTCAATTCATTTAGCTTAAAACAAATGTAGAAGGTGCATGCAATTACTCAATGATTTCACCTTTGACCTTTCCAGTCCATTTGGCCTTGTTTATGATATTCCAGTGCTCACCAATTGTTGGAGCATTATGTTGATAGTAAAAGGTAAGGACTGTAGAAAAAATGTGTTTACTATTAAAGTAAATATTTATTTTCTACAAAGTAATTGAAGCTGTATGGAATTCAACCTTCTGTCAATATTCTCTCTGTATCATATCTCTACATCATGAATTGTCACAGGCATAAGCACATGTGTGCTTCTTTTTCCATCCTCAAAGCTGTATGTTAATTATGCAATGTACATATTAACTAACTGGGTCTACTAGTTGGTAGAAAACAGAGTCCCTAGAGGTGAACAAAATTCTGGTTTTTACCGCTTACTTTTTTGGGGGGTGTAAATTCTTATAACCATTTTGTTGTCACTAAACACAAAATTGGGAAGAGATGTAAAGTCATCTCTCCTGTAAAGTGGTGATTAGCATAGCTAAGTATTTCAAAATATGAAATAGAGGTGACTCAATGATTCATAGCTAACATAGTTATGTAAGTTACTTGATGGTCATCATAGGATTTGGCCTCAAGAAACAAAGACAAATTTGAATTAACTGTCAGTAACACTTGACTGTCAAAATGCTCATGTAATTTTCTATTGTTTTAATGTAGATTGTGAAAAAGAAATTAAATCCTTAATGTGGATATATGTACTGGTAGGAAATCTTATTCGTGGAATTGGTGAAACTCCCATCATGCCCTTGGGCATTTCCTACATAGAAGATTTTGTCAAATCTGAAAACTCCCCTTTATATATTGGTAAGTTTGAAAATAAAACTTGGGATCGTTTTTTTTTTTTTAACAAACCAAGTTCAAGGATGGTTTAAAACAGTTATTTGAACACCTGTTGTTTCCACAGCCATGAACAGAGTGCTATGATACCATTGGCTGTAAAATTGTTTAGTAGCAGAATTAAGCAGCAGTTCCAGACAAGCAGGTTCAGCAAGCAGCTTCTCACATTGGAGATCCTTCTTATCTGCTGTTCCTACAGTCCTCTGATGCTGCCACACTATCTCTAAACCCTTACAGATTCACCAGTATTTCCTGGAAAATGTTCTAGGATACAATTTTTTTTCCATTTTTTTGCATTGTTCATTATTCTTTTACCTATGTTATTACAAATTCATTATTTCCTATTTTATGTCTGTAGTACTTTAAATAGCTTTACTTTCTCTTCTCTTCTCTTCTCTTCTCTTCTCTTCTCTTCTCTTCTCTTCTCTTCTCTCTCTCTCTCTCTCTCTCTCTCTCTCTCTCTCTCTCTCTCTCTCTCTCTCTCTCTGTATGTGTCTGTGTGCATTTTCTTGACAGTGTGGTGGTCATAATACAGTTATCAAGATTTGGACTTGAGATTGAACTCTGGTCCTTGGGCAAGGTTTAGTGAACAAATACTTTTACCTGTTGAGTCTCCTTGTTGCGGGAGGTCCTTCCGCCCCTCCAACCAATAGCTGCTGAGATACCAGCCCATTGGTGCGTGGTTTTTCTCCCTTAAAAAAAACGGCTACTTCCTTCACTTGCTGTCTTCACTTCCTGCTCTGCCAGCGACTAGACTCCCTTCCTGGTTGTGCAGAGGGCTGTTGTCTGGGATGGTGATCTGTAAGTTTTTTCCTCTTTAAATAAATACCACCCTATTAATCATAATTCCAAACTGGTGTGGCATTGTTCGTGACTTACGCCTTCATCTCCTGCCTAACTTTAGTGTTTTCTTTTGTTGCCTTCTTATAAACATTCATGCAGGACAAGCCTTACCAAACCCTGTTTCAATCATGTCTACCGTGTTCAACAAATGTTTTTTTTTTTAATTTACTGTCTGCTCTCTTTTACTCCTTGATGTTCTGTACCCTGCCTCTCTATGAAATAAATGATATCATTAAGAATCAGTTTAGTGTATACCTTCTTACATTTTCTCATAAATTATTTTAGTTTTTTGGGAATAATTTGCTTATGATCTTAAGTCAATCCATCTGTAGTTGATTATTAGTCTATAACTTTGTATATAAAAATATTATTCAATTAGTGTACACATATTACTTAAAATTAACAAATGAACAAAAATAAAAGTGCATAAGAAAAGACATGAATGGCGTTAAAATTAATCAGGATTAATTCAATTAAAAGTAACATTACTCTTTGGAGACTTATTAATTTGGCAATACTCATTTCCTGTAAAACTAGTTATTCTTTTCAGATACCCACACAGCTATCTAAGAAAAATAATACAGGAACTTTTGTGCAATAAATTTTTAGAATATGGATCTCTTTCTCAAAATTCTAGAGACAAATTACATGTAAATATGTAAAATATATTCATATAATAACTATATTGTTGTGACTAAGAGTCATGACTCATGCATCTTGGAACACACATAGCCTAGTTTTACAAATCAATATCTATTTAAGTAAATAAATATTATATAAGAATGCTTAAGCATAATCAATTATCTATAAAACAAAATATAAATATAGATGCATTGTGAATCTGTAGCAAAGAGATATAGAAGCCAAATGTTAAATTTGAGAGTTATCTATGATAGACAATAAGTTAAAACAAGAATAAATGGCATTGCTTTAGGAAGACATGTATGTACTGAGAATCCATTTAAGCACACTGGCAGATTCTTCTGCCTAGTTGGTAGAGTGAGAGGAGAAAAGTCAAACAGTTTCTCCATGGGACTAAAGTGAACAATAAACAAAGTTTGGAGAAGGTGTTAGGAGGAAGCAGACAGATGATGAGTTGGCCAACAATGTCAAATAAGTTATGAGAATAAAATCAAAACTGGAAAAAGTGATCCATGATGGAGGTCACTGGTGCCAAGTATCTTAGAATCAGGAAACACCTGAGCACAATGAGAGTTGAGGAGTCGTGGAGCATAGTGAAAGGTAGGAAGGAAGAATGGAGATTGGAGATCTTGTAGGAATCATGAGCTACAGGGCATCAAGTAACAGGGAGTGTTTGACAGAACATAAAAAGGCAGAAGAATTTGGCCTTGAGAGGTCAGTAAAACATAGGAGGACTAACCCTTAGAACCATAGTGAAAGAGGAAAAACAAAGTGTAAATTATATAAATGTAAGGAAGCTGAAGTTCATATCTGGCTTTTCTGTGAGTAGGGATGGCTCAGAAAAGTTGGAAGATGCTGTTGGTGGAATCAAAGAAACCAGGTGAGATTGAAATAGACTAAGAAAATGAAAATAATAATAAGAAAAGAAAGATGATCAGGAAAGCACCAAAGAGAAGTTCCATTATAAGGACATATTCTTCCTTTGGAAGGAAGTCCCGAGTGAAGGCCGGTGATGAAGACACATTACAAGAAATATATCACAGCACACAGTTTTTGAGATGGTGGTAGTTTCATTTCTGTTTCTGTGAGGAAATGCAACCTTGGAGAGAGGATTTATAATTTATTTGTCTTATAATTCCATCTCAACAGAAAAGTCACAGTAGCAGGATTTTGAATCCTCTCGCCACACCCAGAAGAGCAGAGATAGTAAATCTATGCATGCTTATTTATTTGCTTGTATGGTTGTACTCAGCTCTTTTTCTACTCTTACACAGCTGATGACTTCCTGCCTAGGGAATGGTGGTGCCCACAGTGGGCTGGGTCTTCTCACATCAATTAACTTAATTAAGACAGTCTTCTATGGACATGTCCACAAAATCCAGTATAGACAATATTTCATTAATACTTTCTTCTGGGAATTCTAGGTTGTATCAAGTTGACAATCAAAGATAATCAACACAGAGTCCCTTTGAAAACATGGCTATGGAAGCATGAAAAGGCACTTGCTAACACCATGGCTTTGATGGGACTGAGTGTGATAGTGCAGCCTTTGACCTTAACTCAGAATAAAAGAGAATTTGAAATGTGGCTTTAAGTAATAAAACTTCTGTGTCAGTCTGTTTTTTATAACTTTAATAAACACCTGATATAATGATTGATAATTAGAAAGGATTACTTTGGCTCAGAGCTCTGAAAGTTTTGGTCAATGTTGCTGGATTGTGTGTTTTAGAAGCCTGTCATGAGGCAGTTCATTATGATGGAAGGACAGGTGGAGTGAAACCATTCATCTTGAGACTAGGAAGCAAAGTAGAATGAGGAAAGGGTGATGGTTATACTCCAGATGACCTGAAGACCCAAATCCATTCCCTGCCTCAGTAGGGTCCCATCAGACTCCAGTGGTGCCCCCTGAGAAACAAGTCTGTCACACATGAGCTTCTGGGAAACATTCTATATTGAAACAATTGGAACTTCCATCTTAATATTACAGAAACCAGTGCATGTACATGCAACACACATATGTACATATACATACAAAGTTTAATTGTTCATATGTTGAATATATAAGAATATCTGAAGTAGTAGAGTATAACTCAATTGTAGAGCACTTATCTGTTGACAGAGGCTTCTGTCCTGTCTAGTTTTGCAGCCACACAAAGGCTTACATTAATTATAAACTGGTTGGCCTATTAACTCAGGCTTTTCATTAACTAACTCGTACATCTTAAATTACCCCATAATTCTTGTCTGTGTTAGCTATGAGGCCTGGTAAATTTTATCTGTGAGTCATTCTCATCTTGCTTCCTTTTTGTTTGGGTGATGAGTGCAAACTGAAACTTTCCTCTTCTCAAAATTCTCCTATTCTGGTCAACCTGCCTATATATCATGCCGGGTCACCCCACCTATAATTCTTGATTAGTTACTGGCCAATCCATGTTTTATTAAAGCAATACAAGTGGCAAATCTTTACAGGATACAAGTCAATTGTGCCACAGCACTTATCAATTTTGCCAGATTTGATACAAATCTCTATAAAGGAAGGAAAAGTAATCTAATGTTAAAAATAATTCATTCTCAAGGCTTCTTTTTATTATGTGAGCAAAATCTTTATGTGGTTGTGTAACTTCCTATTTTTGTTTACTTCCAGGGATTTTAGAAGCAGGAAACATTGTTGGCCCTTTTTTTGGACTTTTGTTCGCATCTTTCTGTGCAAACATCTATGTAGACATTGGGTCTGTGAATACAGGTAAAATACATTTTATTGATATAGTATAGTCTCTGGAGTGTAAGAGACTGCTCCAGGTTGCTATACCTGGAACCCAGGGCCTCTTTTAGTCACTGAACTGTTTCTCTACTCCCCTTTCTCACACAATGTGATGCTTTGATATATGAACACATCTGGTTAAAACTGTTTTTTATGTCTAAAATCATTTTATGTCATTTTTAAATAAAGTTTTAACTACTACACTTTATAGAAATCAGAACCTTTTTTTTCTTAAATAATTTTATGTCCACCCAATTGATCAAACTCAGACAGTTTTTCTACAGGTCTGAATTTGCCCAAAGTGGTGGCTGATATTTGTAATCATAGCATTTAAGAGTAGAGGCAGGTTTCACAGGAAATAACCCAACAAGAATAAATGTGAATAATTTATGAACAATACACAAATGTTGTGTTTAGATGGGAGTATGATCCTTAACAATTTTCTACAATTTACACCGGAAAGAATGAATCACACTAACAAAATATCTGTATTTCTCCACAGATGACTTGACCATAACTCCCACTGATACACGCTGGGTCGGTGCTTGGTGGCTCGGCTTTTTGATCTGTGCAGGAGTGAATGTTCTGATCAGCATCCCCTTTTTCTTTCTTCCCAACACTCTCCCAAAGGAAGAACTAGAGGATAATGCAGATGTGACTAACAGCAACAAAGAAGAGAAACACCAAGGAAAAGCCAAAAAGGAAAAACGTGGAATCACTAAAGGCAAACAGACAAACATTAACCCCTGTATATGGTTTAGATGGGTCTGCAGGTAGTGGAACATGTGTCTGCTGTGCTGAGTTAAGATGATTTGTCACTAAGGGTCCCTACCTGGATGCCTTAAACTTCTTCCCAAGTTATTGCTTGGAAACAACTCACATAATTTGTAAACAGCACATCTTAGATTAGACTTTATGGAAAATTCATCAATCTGTACACTCAATGAACAAATATATTTTCCCACCTGTTTTGAAAAGTCTATTTTATAGAAAATATGGTTCCAAGTTAAAATAACCAATAAATTCAAGTTAAATACAATGTGAGAGAATTACCTGTCCTAAAGTAACTGCATAGATTGATAAGAAAAATGACAGCTTATCTGTGAGCATGCTTGAAGTTAATGTTGGAGAAGAAATCCTGAGAGGTGTAATAATCTTCTGTATTTGAAGGTGTGTGTTAGTTTACATGAGAACTGTTCCCTAAGGAGCAGACTGCTGTCAAACAAGCAGGAATGTTATTAACCTCTGGTGCAGAGCAGTGGTGCATCTGTAAGAAGCTGAGTGGTCAACACTGCCCATTTCTGTATGTATGTATGTATGTATGTATGTATGTATGTATGTATGTCTGTTTGTTTGTATGTACATACAAATCAATCTTTTTTTAAAATTTATATACCAATCCCAGTTCCCAATGCCTCCTCTCCTCTTCCACCCCTGACTGCCTTTCTACTCTACCCACATTCACACCTCAGAGAGGGTGAGGCTCCCTATGCAGAATCAACAAAGGTGATCAATTTGAGGCAGGAAAAGGCCCTTCATCCTATATCTAGGCCATACAAGGCATCCCTCCATAAAGAATAGGTTCCTAAAATTCAATGCAAGCACCAGGAATAAATCCTGGTCCCACTACCAGTGGCCTCACAGACTGCCCAACCCACACAATTGTTACCCACATTCAGAGGGCTTACTTTGCTGCTATACAGGTTCCTCCACTGCCAGTCTAGAGTCAGTGAGTTTCCACTAGCTCAGATGAGCTGTTTCAGGTCCTGATCTCTTTGCTCATGTTACAACTCATTCCTCTCTTCAACTGGACTCTCAGAGCTCAGTCCAGTGCTTCACTGTGGATCTTTGCATCTGCTTCCATCAATTGCTGGATGAGGGTCCAATGATGACAATTAAGGTAGTCATCAATCTAATTACAGGGAAAGCCAGTTCAGGCGCCCTCTCCACTATTGCTTAGGGTCCAAGCTGAGGTCAACCATATGAATTCCTGGGAATTTCCCTACTGCCAGGTTTCTTGCTAGTGGCTCCATCAATCAAGAAATCTCTTCTTGCTTTACCTCTCTTTCTTGACTATAATGTTCCTTCATGTTCTCCTCTTTCTCTTCATCCTTCTACCTCCCCATCCACTTTCATTTCTCTTCCTTTCCATCCTTCCCCCAACTCAACCATCCCCTTCCTGTATGTTCTCATCCCTCATCTGCTCTCCTCTACTGCCCCCTCCCAGTTTATCCAGAGATCTCATCTATGTTCACAGGAGATCCTGTCTATTTTCCCTTCCTAGGAGGATTCATGTATGTCTCTCTTAGGGTTCTACTTGTTACCTAGTTTCTCTGGGGTAATGGACTATAGGTTCAATTTCCTTTTCTCTACATCTAATATACACTAATGGGTGAGAACATACCATGTTTGTCTTTTAGGGTCTCAGTTACCTGAGTGAGGTAACCAGTTTTGACTTTTTTCCTAGTTTAATCCACTTGCCTGAAAATTTCAAGATGATATTGTTTTATATTGCTTTTTTATTGCTGAAGAGTACTCCATTTGTAAATACAACAAATTTTCTTTATCCATTCTTTGTTGGAGGTACATCTAGGTTGTTATCAGGTTCTGCCTTATCAGGAATAATGCTGTTGTGAACGCAGTTGAACAAATGTCTTTGTGGTATGACTGTGAATACTTTGTGTATACATCCAAGAGTAGTATGAGTGGGTCTTGACTTAGATTGATTCCTAATTTTCTGAGAAACTGCCATAATGATTTCCAAAGTAGTTGTATAAGTTTGCATTCACAGGAGCAATGGAAAAGTGTTCCCCTTACTCCATTTTCCCTCCAGCATTAGCTATCATCAGTGTTTATAATCTTAGCCCCCCTTTGACTGGTATAAGGTGGTATTACAAGAGAAGTTTTGGTTTGTATTTTCCTGATGGCTAAAGATGTTGAGTACTTCCTTGGTGATGATCTTTTCCCATTCTGTAGGCTGCTGTTTTGTCTTTTTGACTGTGTCTTTTGCCTTTGTGAAACTTCTGTTTCAGGAGGTCTCATTAATTGTTGTTCTCAGTGTCTGCACTACTAATGCTGTATTAGGAAGTGGTCTCCTGTGTCCATAAATTCAAAGCCACTTCTCTGTTTCTATTATTTGAGGTTCAGTGGGCCTGGATTTATATTGAGGCCTTTAATCCATTTAGACTTGAGTTTTGTTCATTTTGTAGATATGGATGTATTTGCATCCTAAATGTCAACATCCAGTTATGCCAGCATCATATGTTGAAGATGATTTCTTTTTTCCATTGTATAAATTTAGCTTTTTTTGTTCAAATGTCAGATGTTAATAAGTGTATGGATTAATATTCAGGTCTTCAATTCAATTACATCAGTACACATGCCTGCTTTTATGCCAATACCAAGCTATTACTATAGCGTTATAGCAGATCTTGAAGTCAGGAATGATGATACCTCCAGAAGTTTTTTTTTTTTTTTTAAGGATTGTTTTGGCTATGCCTGATTTGTTGTTTTTCCATATGAAGTTGAATATTGGTCTTTCGAGTTCTATGAAGGGTGTTGGAATTTTGATGTGGATTGCATTGAATCTGTAGATTTATTTTATTAAGATCGTCATTTTTATTAGGTTGAGCCTACCTATCCAATAGCATAGGAGATCTTTCCATTTTCTGATATCTTTTTCAGCTTCTTTCTTTAGACATTTAAAGTTCTTTTCATGCAGATCTTTCTGTTCTTTGTTGGCATTACCCCAAGATATTTTTATTACTTTTGGCTATTGTAAAAGATGATGTTTCTCTGGTTTCTTTCTCAGTTCATTTCATTTGTCATTTGTATATAGGAGCAATACTGATTATTTCGAGTTTACTTGTATTCTGCGGCACTACTGATAAAATTTATCAGTTGTAGGAGGTATAGGTTGAATTTTTACTATCCTATCATCTGCATATAATGGAAGTTTGACTTTTTCCTTTCTAATTTGTATTTCCTTGATCTCTTTTTGTTGTCTAATTGCTCTAGCTAGACCTTCTAGTAGTATATTGAATAGATATGGAGTGAATGGATTGCCTTGTCATGTTCCTCATTTTAGTGTAATCACTTTGAGTTTCTTTCCATTTAATTTTATGTTGACTGTTGACTTGCTGTATATTGCTTTTATTATGTGAGGTAAGTTTCTTGTATCCCTGATTTCTCCAAGGCCTTTATCATGAAGAGGTGTTGGATTTTGTCAAATGATTTTTCAGTATCTAATGAGATGTTCATATTCTTTTTTTTTCAATTTATTTATGTGATAGATTACATTGACAGATCTTTGTATGTTGAACCATACCTCAACTCTAGGATGAAGCCAACTTGATCCTGGGCATGATATCTTGATGTATTTTAGGGTTCAGTTTGCCAGCATTTTTGAGCATTTTTGCATCAATGTTCAATAGGAAGATTGGTATGTAATTCTCTTTCTTTTTGAGTGTGGCTTGGGTATCAGGGTACCCATAGCTTGTATAAAAGTATTTGGTAAAGTTCCCTTTTTTTCTATTGTGTGGAACAATTTGAGGAGTATAGGTATTAGCTCTTCTTTGAAGTTCTGACAGAATTCTACATTGAAACCCACCAGCCCTGTACTTTTTTGGGGGGAGGGCAGAGGAGACACTTTTGATGACAGATTCTATTTCTTAGGACTTATAGGTCTATTTAAACTGTTTATGTATTTTTGATTTGTAGCACCTATACAGAAATTTGTCCATTTCTTCTATATTTGTTCAAATTTTGTGGAATATAGGTTTTCAAATTATAAGCTAAAGTTTTTCTGGATTTCCTCAGTGTCTGTGGTTATATTACCCTTTTATTTCTGATTTTTTAAATTTTAATATTCTTTCTCCGCCTTTAGATAAAGGTTTGTCTATTTTGCTGATTTTTTTGAACCAGTTCTTTGTTTCATTGATTTTTTTGTATTGTTTCATTTGTTTCTATTTTATTGATTTCAGCTCTCATTTTTTTTTTTTTTTTGATTTTTCGAGACAGGGTTTCTCCTTAGCTTTTTGGTTCCTGTCCTGGAACTAGCTCTTTTAGACCAGGCTGGCCTCGAACTCACAAAGATCTGCCTGCCTCTGCCTCCTGAGTGTTGGGATTAAAGGCATGCGCCACCACCGCCCAGGTTCAACTCTCAATTTTATTATTTGTTGTCATCTATTTCTCCTGGGTGAGACTGCTTCTTTTTGTTACATAGCAATATGGTGTGGTGTTAAGTCACTAGTATGAGATTGCTTCTCTTTCTTTATATAGGCACTTAGTGTGATGAACTTTCCCCTTAGTACTGCTTTCATAGTGTCCCATGGGTTTGGGTATGTTGTGCATTCAATTTTGTTGAATTCGAAGAAGTCTTTAATTTCTTTTCCTTTCTTTCTTTCTTTCTTTCTTTCTTTCTTTCTTTCTTTCTTTCTTTCTTTCTCTCTCTCTCTCTCTCTCTCTCTCTCTCTCTCTCTCTTTCTTTCTTTNTTTCTTTCTTTCTTTCTTTCTTTCTTTCTTTCTCTCTCTCTCTCTCTCTCTCTCTCTCTCTCTCTCTCTTTCTTTCTTTCTTTCTTTCTTTCTTTGTTTCCTAGGGTTGATTTAGTTGAGCATTGTTCAATTTAAATGAATCTGTAGGGTTTCTGCAATTAGTGTTGTTTTTAATTCTGACTTTAAGCTATAGTGATCTGATAAGATATAGGAGGTTATTCCAATTATTTTATATCTGGTGAGGTTTTCTTTGTTACTGACCATGTTGTCAATTTTAGAGAAGGCTCCATAAGGTATTGAAAAAAAAGTATATTCTTTTGTGTTTGGGTTAAATGTTCTGTAAGTGTCTGTTAGATCCATTTGAATAATGGCATCTATTAGTTCTCTTATGATCTGTTAAGTTTCCATCTGGCAGACATGTCCATTGGTGAGAGTGGAGTGGTGAAGTCCTCTACTATTAGTGTGTGGGGTTTGATGTGCAATTTAAGCTTTAGTAATTTTTATTACATATGTGGATGCTCTTGTAATTGGTGCATAGTTGAGATTTCATCTTGATGAATTTCCTGTGATGAATATGAAGTATCTTTTGGCATATCTTTTGATTGCTTTTAGTTATAAGTCTATCTTTTCTAAATATTAGGATAGCTACACCAGCTTGTTTCTTAGGTCCATTTCATTTGAAATTCTTTCCCAACCCTTACTCTAAGGTAATATCTGTTTTTGAAGTTGCGGTGTGTTTCTTGTATGCAGAAGAAGGATGGGTCCTGTTTTCTATTCATTCTTGTAGCCTTTGTCTTTTTATGCGTGAATAGAGTCCATTGATATTAAGAGATATTAATCAGTGATTGTTAATTTTTGTTACTTTTCAGTGGTAGTATTTGTGTGTTTCTTTTCTTAGGGATTTTCTGGTGTGAGGAGGTCATTTGTTGCCTGTGTTTTTGTGGATAAAGATAATTTCCTTTTGTTGAAGTTTTTCTTATAGTATTTTCTGTAAGACTGAATTTGTGGATTGGTGTTGTTTAAATCTGGTTTTGTCATAGAATATCTTTTTTCTTCAAACAGCGGTGATTGAAAGTTTTGCCAAGAATGATAGCCTGGGCTTGAATATATGGTTTCATATTGTCTTCAGCATATCTGTCCAGGTTATAATGGCTTTCATAGTTTCCATTAGGAATTGGGTTTAATTTTGATAGGTCTGCTTTTATATGTTAATTGGACTTTTCCCTTGCAGCTCTTAATATTCTTTCTTTTTCTGTTTTCCTTATTGCCTCAATTTCATTATTCAAGTTGACCTGTTCACTATACCCGTTTAACTGTTTTTTTCTTGATTTTCTTTATGATATTTATCGATTTCTTTTAATTTTTGTTGGACAAATCAATATATTTAAGGGATTTTTTTCATTTCCTCTTTAAGAGTCTCTATCATCTTCATAAGTTATATTTTTCTGTGTTAGGATGCTAAGTTTTGTTGTTGCCATATTGCTCTTTAGGTTTTTGAATGTATTCTTTCATTTGCACCTATCCAAGTCTTCCTGGAATTGATTAAGGCAGTATCTTTGTAACTTGGCCCAATCCTTGTAGGTGGTATCTGTGTCTTTGGGATCCTGTCTTGGACTGGTTGTTGCAATTGTTTTCTGTGTCAAGAAGCTGCTCATGATCTGCTTTGTGCAGTCCATGTCTGTGTCTCAGGGAGTCACTGAGGTCATGGCTACTAACTTTTAAAAACTCCTTAATTGTTGATATAGAATTTTAGCCCAGAGGGGTCAAGATTTATCAAACGCATTTCTGTAACACTACAAAATCTGTGAGAAGATTTCAGTTTACCAGACTCAAAATTCAAGACTGTGTTATCTTGATGGTATTGATACTCTCTTGTTTCAGATTTCTTGCCATTCATGAAGAGCCTCTTCTGCAACCCAATTTATGTGCTTTTTGTCCTTGTAAGTGTGCTTCAGATCAGTTCATATGCCATAGTATTTGTCTTCATGCCTAAATACCTGGAACAACAATTTGGAAAATCAACTGCAGAGATAGTATTTCTCATGGGTATGTAATTTTATTATTTCTTTATTAGAACTCTCCCTTTCCTCAAGGACACGATAAAAAGTGTCTCCAAAGACATGCCAAACAACATGACTCAGAAACAAGGAAATGATGTCTGTTCACAATTTTGTAAATTTCTTCTTTCTAGTCTCCAGGAAAATAAATAGGTAGGTGGGAAAGTGAAACTAAGAATGAGGAAAAGAAGAAGAGTGGAGTCAGAGGAATTACCAGCAGAACAGCAGAAGCTGAGGGAGCAGACTAATGTGCCATGCTAATAAAGATGGGATTCTATATTTTACTCTTAGAGTTTTCTTCTGAGCTTCAAGAATTGCCTTTCACATTACTCCTAATTCAGTTGCTTTGTCCTTTTTTTTTTTTTTTTTTTTTTGGCGTCTGTGCAGTCACATCTGCTTTTCTTGTTAGTACACTAAACCTAGGGATCATACCTCACTTTGAATTTTTGCTGAGTTCTTATATACAGATGGAAGTTTCAGTCCTTCCAGAAACTCCCAAGTAAACATAACAAGGCTTATATTAATTACAAATTCTCAGTCAATAGCTCAGGGTTATTGCGAACCAGCTCAAACATTTTAAATTAACACTTGATCCTTATTACATTGTGCCAGATAGTGGCATTTTAATTAGCATGGCACATTAGTCTCCTGCTCCCTCAGCTTCTGCTGGAGATTCCTCTGACTCCACTCTTCTTCTTTTCCTCATTCTTAGTTTCACTTTTCCACTTCTCTCTGTATTGTTAAGCTATTATTCAATCAACTTCTTTATTAAATCAATGAGAGTAATACATGATTACAGCGTACAAAAGGATCATTCCACAGCATTTCCCAATTTTGTCTAATTAAAAATGGAAGGTTTTACCTTTAACATATTAAGATTATAAACAGCAAAAACAGTTATTAAGAATTACACATACAATATCTTGTCAATTTGATAGATAAAATATTCTATCATCTATCTTATCTTGGTGATTCTAAAATTTTATCCTTAATTTATTCATTGTAACTGAGGAAAGTTTTAATTATGACTGTCTAATCTACAACTCAATCAAAGACCTAAGAATGATAAAATATTACTAATGATAGGACATCTTGCTGCCTGGACAGTCAGTCAAAGTTTCTCTTTAACATTGGGGCATCCAGCTTCAGTCTACCATCTTAGAGTATCTGGCAGACTTTCCTGTGATGCAAGAAATTTGAAGGACTTTCATGTCTTGTATTAACATTGTTCATCAATTGTTTTTGTGTGTGTGTGTGTGTCCTGCAGAATGTCTGACAGATTCTTTCATGAAGGAGGAATCTCAAAGGACTATCACGCCTTGTATTGGAAAAGTTCAACAATCATTTTCCTATCTGTTCTGCAGAATGTCTGGCAGACATTTCTATGAAGCAGGAATCTTGAAAGTCTGTCCTCCCTTGTTTTGTCCAAGTTCAGCAATCTTTTCCTATGGGTCTGGCATGTCCAGTATATAGAGCATGCAGTCAAGGTTCAAGACAAAAGTAGTTTCTTGCCAAAATGACTAATCTTGCCACAAAGAAAGCAAATGCCTACAGAGTTGAATTGATGCATATTATCTTCTCTGAAGTAAATTGGTGTTATTGGGAGATGTGTCTCATTGTCATGAAAAACCTTATGTTAAGAAAAATTTCATATGTCATATCCTATAGATTCTTGATCGCTTGAAAATCATTTAACTAGCTAAAATATATTTCTACAGGATCTTGAAAACATACCTAATATATCTACAAGTATGATTGTTGTGACTAACGAGTAACTTGTATTTGTTGATTACCCTAAATATTTTATAATAACTTTCAAAAACTAGAATTTAGCTTTTATTTTTTTAATGAACTGCAAAGGCATAACAACTTAAACAACAATAGAAACATATATTCAATGACACCAAATTAACTTTAAATTTACATCAATATACCATATTCCCCTAAATGATTGTAAATGTCCATAGGCCAACAAATAACAAAAAGCCTCCCCCACATCTCTTGGGAATTTAGGCAATATGTTCCCCAAACTGCTTTTTGATGTCTGTTGGTGAAGTCATCTTTAGGGTGCCTGAGAAAATTTGAGATAATGACCAAGTGTTAGGAAGATAAGCAATAAACTTATAGATATCATCTGCAAGATCCATGAGGTCTTTCATGATCAAACCTGATAAATACTATTCCTGAAAGAATGCACAGATTCTTGTTTTCTGTGGGAACAAAAGCAAATACTCTTCTCCAAAACATTTTTGATTTTTATTTGACAAGTACATTTTTCTTTCATTCTTAAATTTAAGATGACCCTAAAGTTAAAATTTGCATGGGAAATTAACAATTCCATGTCCCCTAGCAACTGTCTTTTGCTCATTGGAATTCAAAATTTTCAAAATCAATAAAATAGCATTCCTTATTTAGACTCCTTATGTATTCCCCATATCTGCACTGTTTATTATTTTTTATTATTGTACTTCTGTCTTTAAAGACTTTATTATTTTAATCTATTCTTTCTTAGTTTGTTTTTCTTAAGTTTATACATATTTTTAAACACCATAGCACATTTAGACATTATTTTTCAATCTGGTTCTCTTTTTATTGTGTATCTCTATCCTTTTCTGACCACACAAGTCAAACTTTAAACTGCTAAGTGGCTTTTCACTGGCAGGACTCATGGCTGAATATACCTGCTTAGTTCCCGAGACCCTTGTCTCATGGCTGAGGTGTGTTTATCACCAGCTCTGGAAGCTATGCTACCACCATAACTATGGGAAGTTTCTTGGTTTACATAGCCACCAAGTAACTCTCATCCACCATTCATTTACACCACTTAAGTGTTTAGTAGTAGCACCTCTCAAGAGACATGGCCATTTCTTTTTTTGCCATGCCAGGAAGCTGTCTCCTAAAGTAGTTATACCTCTGCTTACTGCCAGCAAGCAGAACATACCGGAGTAAAGGCAATTATTAATAAGTTGTTCCTGACTACATTTTTGTGGTCTTAAATAAACTCAGTGAAATTTATATTGAATCTAAATGCTCAGTCAATAGCTCAGGCTTATTAATGCTTTATAAATTAACCCATATTCTTTATTTATGCTTTGACAAATGAGGGTACCTTTATTAGCATGGCACATTCATCCCTTGCTCCCTCAGAATATGCAGGCTATTCTTCTTACTCTACCCTTCTTCTTCCCTTCATTTTCAGTTTGGTTTTCCTGTCTATTTCTTTCCTATTCAGCTACTGGCCAGTCAGCGTTTTTATTAGACCAATGAGAGTAATACATATTCACTGTGCATTATTCAAATTACATTTAGTCTTAAAATTTTCAATCATAAACTGTCAGGATCTACATTATGTAGAAATCTCTAAAAGTCCAAATCCCAATGCCTTCCCTCTGATGAATAAAATTAAATGAAATGGTATGGAGTTGAAAAGGAAGCATAAATTCATCTGAGATTGGAGCTGATGTTACATTAATGCAACCTAGACAGGATTTTATTGTCCTTTTCTCTCTCTCTCTCTCTCTCTCTCTCTCTCTCTCTCTCTCTCTCTCTTTGCAGTGGAATTAGAGTCAGGAAGAAAGATTTCTGGGCAACATAAGTAGTACACAGAATGTTCTATATGTGATAAGCATGGGTTCAGTGGTGACCTTCAAAATTACAGAGTTGAAAGAAGTACCTAAAATACATAAACTTGTGTATGTGTCTCTGTGTGAGAGGGTTACAATGTGTTTATAACTTGTTTTAAATAATTAGGCAAATGCCAATTGTTTTTTAAAGTGACATTATGGGGCATTTGAAATATGTGAATGAGTAGGAGTTAGGATGACTGTATATTAGAGTTAAGTAATTTCCTAAGTAAGATATTTTTAAAAATTGATACCATTTATTTTTCTGCTGTGTTTTATAAATACTATTCTGTTTTCATTTATAGGTATTTATAACTTACCTCCAATAGTTTTTGGATATTTAATTGGCGGTTTTGTTATGAAAAAGTTCAAGTTTACTGTCAAGAAAGCTGCATACGTAGCTTTTTGCTTATCGCTGACTGAGTGGGTTTTATTTTTCTTAAACTTTCTGTGGACCTGTGATAATTTCCCAGTTGCTGGCTTAACTACATCTTATGAGCATGAACGGTATGTTATTTCCTAAGTAAGATCATAATATTTTCACTAATGTTAATCCATTTTTCTTCAAGAACTGTATATGACCAGGCCATTTTATTACAACATAAAGACAATCATCCGTAGTTATCCTCTATTTTTCTTCCATTCTTCAATAATATACAACTGCGAGCTTACTAAAGAGGCCTAGGAAGTACCAATGAGTAAATTTATAATTCTGTGTACATATTAGTGTTTGCCATAATGATATCCTAGTCTGCTTTAAAGTATAATGAGGAAAATAACCTAGATCTTTTAACCTAAATTATGCATGTATTTTATGCTCCAGATTGTTTTAAAAGTTGACTATATAACAAAAGATAGCTTTAAAACTCAACTAAACAAGCCAAGAAACCTTCATAGATATCTACAATGGGCATAAATTCAGCCTAATGTATTGAGTCTAATACCTGGTTAGTCAATACATGTACATATTTATTAATGACACCAGTATAATTACATCTCATATACTTTATAGTCTTTGACTTTGCATTATTTTTTACTTTATTTTTTTATTGAAAATTTTCACCCATTCTCCTCCTCCCACTTCCCTCACCTCCCCCCAATCCACCACCCCCTCCCTCTCTAGTCCAAGGAGCAGTCAGGGTTCCTACACTATGGAAAGTCCAAGGTCCTACGCGCTCTCCCCAGGTCCAGGAAGATGAGCATCCAAACAGACTAGGCTCCCACAAAGGCCATTCATACAGTAGAATCAAGACCCAGTGACATTGTCCTTGGCTTCTCAGTCAGCCTTCACCATCACATATATTCAGAGAGTCCAGGTTTATCACATGCTTCATCAGTATCAGTCAAACTGGCCTTGGTGATCTCCCATTAGATCTGTCTCACTGTCTCAGGGGTGGACACACGCCTCATTGTCATTACTTCCTTGCTCATGTTCTCCCTCCTTCTGCTCCTCATTTGAACCTTGGGAGCTTATTTCAGTGTTCCAATGTGGGTCTCTGACTCTATCTCTATCCATTGCCAGATGAAGGTTTTATGGTGGTATGCAAGATATTCATCAGTGTGGCTATAGGATAAGGCAAGTTCAGGCACCCTCTCCTCTGCTGCCCAAGGAACAATCTGGGGACATCTCCTTGGACATCTGGCAACCCCTCCAGAGTCAAGTCTCTGCACAACCCTAAAATGTCTCCCTTAATTAAGATATCTACTTCCCTGCTCCCACATCCAACCCTCCTCCATTCCCTCAAGCTCTCCCCATGCTCCCCTGCTCCCTTCTCTCTCCCCATTTCCCCTCATCCCCGCTCCACCCCCACCTCCACTCTCCCAACCCCTGTCCGGCATCTTGTACACTTCCAATATCCAGGAGGATAACTTTATGTTTTTCTTTGGTTCTACCTTCTTATTTACCTTCTCTAGGATCATGAATTTTGGGCTCAATATCCTTTGTTTATGGCTAGAGTCCACTCATGAGTGAGGACATTACATATTCATCTTTTTGGGTCTGAGTTATCTCACTCAGGATAGTTTTCTATTTCCATCCATTTGCATGTAAAATTAAAGATGTTGTTTTTTACTGTCGAGTAGAACTCTAAAGTGTATATGTGCCACACCTTCTTTATCCATTCTTCTATTAAGGAGCACCTAGGTTGTTTCCAGCTTCTGGCTATTACAAATAATGCTGCTATGAACATAGTTGAACAAATGCTTTTGTAGTATGATTGGGCATCACTTGGGTATGTTCCTAAGAGTGGAATTGCTGGGTCCTAAGGTAGTTTGACTCCCAGTTTTCTGAGAAACCGCCACACTGATTTCTAATGTGGTTGCACAAGTTTGCATTCTCATCAGTAATGGATGAGTGTCACCCTTACTCCACATCCTTTCCAGCATAGGCTCTCATTGGTGATTTTTATTTTAGCTTTTCTGACAGGTGTAAGATGGTATCTCAGAGTTGTTTTGATTTGCATTTCCCTGATCGCTAAGGAGGTTGAACATGACCTTAAGTGTCTTTTGGCCATTTGAACTTTTGTTGAGAATTCTCTATTCAGGTCAGTACCCCATTTTTTAATTGGGTTAATTAGAGGTTTAATGTCTTTTTTCTTGAGTTCTTTATATATTTTGGAGATCAGATCTTTGTCTGATGTGGGGTTGGTGAAGATCTTCTCCCAATCAGTAGGGTGCCTTTTTGTCTTAATGACTGTGTCCTTTGCTTTAAGGAAGCTTCTCAGTTTCAGGTGGTCCCATTTATTCATTGTTGTTCTTATTGTCTCTGCTGCTGGGGTTATACGTAGGAAGTGGTCTCCTGTGCCCATGTGTTGTAGACTACTTCCCACTTTCTCTTCTATCAGATTTAGTGTGGTCAGATTAATATTCAGGTCATTAATCCATTTGGACTTGAGTTTTGTGCATGGTGATAGATATGGATCTGTTTTCATTCTTCTACAGGTTGACATCCAGTTATGCCAGCACCATTTGTTAAAGATGCTTTATTTTTTTCATTGTATAATTTTAGCTCCTTTGTTTAAAATCAGGTGTTTATAGGTTTATTGATTGATATCTGGGTCTTCAATTTGATCTCATTGGTCAACATCTCTGTTTTTGTGCCAATACCAAGCTGTTTTCAATACTGTAGCTCTGTAATAGAGTATGAAATCAGGGATGGTAATGCCTCCAGAAGTTCCTTTATTGTATCAGATTGTTTTGGATATCCTGGGTTTTATGTTTTTCCATATAAAGTTGATTATTGTCCTCTCAAGATCTGTGAAGAATTTTGATGGGACCTTGATGGGGATTACATTGAATCTATAGATTGCCTTTGGTAGAACTGTCATATTTACAATGTTGATCTTTCCAATCCAAGAGCAAGGGAGATCCTCCATTTTTCTGGTATCCTCTTCAATTTCTTTCTTCAAAGACTTAAAGTTCTTATCAAATAGATCTTTCACTTACTTGGTTGGAGTTACCACAATATATTTTAAGCTATTTGTGGCTATCGTGAAAGGTGATGCTTCTCTGATTTCCATCTCTGTTTCTTTATCCTTTGTGTATAAGAGGGCAACTGATTTTTTGTAGTTGATCTTGTATCCTGCCACGTTAATAAAGGTGTTTATCAGCTGTAGGAGTTCTTTGGTGGAGTTTTTGGGGTCGCTTATGTAAACTATCATATCATCTGCAAATAACGAAAGTTTGACTTTCCAATTCGAATCCCCTTGACCTCCGTATGTTGTCTTATTGCTATTGCTAAAACTTCAAGCACTATATTGAAGAGGTATGGAGAGAGTGGACAGCCTTATCTTGTTCCTGATTTTAGTGGAATGGCTTTGAGTTTCTCTCCATTTAATTTAATGTTAGCTGTTGGCTTGCTGTATATTGCTTTTATTATATTTAGGAATGAACCTTGTGTCCCTAATCTCTCCTAGACCTTTATCATAAAGGGATGTTGAATTTTGTCAAATGCTTTTTCAGCATCTAATGAAATGATCATTTTTTTCCTTCAGTTTATCTATATGATGGTTTACATTGATAGATTTTCATATGTTGAACCAGCCCTGCCTCTCTGGGATGAAACCTATTTGATCATAATGTATAATTTTTGATCTGTTCTTGTATTTGGTTTGCCAGCATTTTATTGAGAATTTTTGAATTGATATTAATGAATGAGATTGGTCTGTAATTCTAATTCTTGGTTAAATCTTTGTGTGGTTTTGGAATCAGAGTGACTGTGGCTTCATAAAATGAGTTTTGCAATGACTCTTCTGTTTCTATTATGTGAAACACATTAAGGAGTATAGGTATTAGCTCTTCTTGGAAGTTCTGGTAGAATTCTGCATTGAAACCATCTGCTCCTTGGCTTTTTTGGTAGGGAGGTTTCTGATGACAGCTTCTAATTCCTCATGACTTACAGGTCTATTTAAATTGTTCACCTGGTCTTGATTTAATTTTGGGATATGGTACTTATCTAAAAAAGTGTCCATTTCTTTCACATTTTCCAATTTTGTGGCATATAGGCTTTTGTAGTAAGATCTAATGATTCTATGAATTTCCTCTGTGTCTGTGGTTATGTCCCCCTTTTCATTTCTGATCTTGTTAATTTGCATGTTCTCGCTCTGCTGTTTGATTAGTTGGATAGGGATTTGTCAATCTTGTTGATTTTCTCCAGGAACTAGCTTTTTGTTTCCTGGATTCTTTGGATTGTTTTCTGTTTCTATTTTGTTGATTTCAGCCCTCAGTTTGATTATTTCCAGTCTTCTATTCCTCCTGGGTAAATCTTCTTTTTTTCTAGAGCTTTCAGATGTGCTGTTAAGTCTTTAATGTGTGCTTTCCCTGTTTTCTTTTTGTGGGCACTTAGTCCTATGAACTTTCCTCTTAGCACTTCTTTCATAGTGTCCCATAGGTTTGGGAACGTTGTGTCTTCATTTTCATTGAATTCAAGGAAGACTTTAATTTCTTTTTTTATTTCTTCCTTGACCCAGGTGTGGTTCAGGAGTTGACTGTTCAGTTTCCATAAGTTTATAGGCTTTCTGGGGTTAGAATTGTTGTTCACTTCTAACTTTATTCCATGGTGATCCAATAGTACACAGGTGGTTACTACAATTTTTTGTATATATGGATGCTTGCTTTGTTGCCAATTATGTGATCAATTTTTGAGAAGGTTCCATGAGATGCTGAGAAGAAGGTATATTCTTTTCTGTTTGGGTGGAATGTTCTATATAGATTTGTTAACTCCAGTTGGTTCATTACATCTGATATTTCTCTTATTTTTCTGTTAAGTTTCAGTCTGGTTGATCTGTCCACTGGTGAGAGTGGAGTATTGAAATTTCCTATTATTAGAGTATGGGGTTTGATGTATGCTTTCAGTTCTAGTGAAATTTCTTTTAGATATGTGGGTGCTTTTATATTAAAACCATATATTCAGTATTGAGACTTCCTCCTGATGAATTGTTCCTGTTATGAATATAAAGTGTCCATTTCTTCTGATTGATTTTAGTTTGAAATCAATTTTCTTAGGTATGAGTATAGCCACACCCACTTGTTTCCTTGGACCATTTGATTGGAAAAACTTTTTCCCAACCATTTACTCTGAGTAGATGTCTGTCTTTGAGTGTGAAGTGTGTTTCTTGTAAACAGCAGAATGTTGGATCCTGATTTTCATATCCATTCTCCTAACCTGTGCTTTTTTATAGGTTGAGTCCATTGATATTAAGTGATATTAATGACCAGTGGTTGTTAACTCTGGTTATTTTTCTGGTGGGAGAGTTTGTATGTTTCCCTTCTTTGAGTTGTGCTGGTGGAGGGTTGTTAGATGATTGTGTAATTATGGGAGTTGTTGGCTTCCTTGGTTTGTGATTTTCCTTCTAGTATTTTCTGTAAGGCTGGGTTTGTGGCAATGTATTGTTTAAATTTCTTTTTGTCCTAGAATATCTTGTTTTCTCCCTTGATAGTGAATGCAAGCTTTGCAGGGTATAGTAGTCTGGACTTGCATCCATGGTCTCTTAGTGTCTGCAGCACATTTATCTGAGACTTTCTAGCTTTTATGGTTTCCATTGAGAAATCAGGTATAATTCTGATAGGTTTCCCTTTATATGTTACTTGACCTTTTTCCTTTGCAGCTCTTAATATTTGTTCTTTATTCTTTATGTTTTGATTATTATATGGTGATGGGATGCTTTTTTTTTTGATCCAGTCTATTTGGTGTTCTATAAGCTTCTTGTACCTTCATAGGAATATTATTTTTAGGTTGCGAAAGGTTTTTTTTCTATAATTTTTTGAATATATTTTCTGTGCCTTTGAGCTGTAATTCTCTTTCTTCTAACCCTATTATTCTTAGGTTTGGTCTTTTCACTGGGTCCCAGATTTCCTGGATTTTTTTGTGTTAAGAATTTATTGGATTCGTTTTGTTCTTTAATCAGTGAGTTTATTTCCTCTATAGTATCTTCATTGTCTGAGATTCTTTCTTCAATCTCTTGTTTTCTGTTGGTGATACTTGTCTATGTAGTTCCTGTTCATTTACCCAGATTTTCCACACCCAGCCTTCCTTCGGTTTGTGTTTTCTTCATTACCTCCATTTCATTTCTCAAGTCTTGAACTGTTTCCCTTACCTTTTTGATGACTTTTTCTTGTTTTTCTTGGAAATCTTTGAGAGATTTATTCATTTCCTCTACCTTTTTGTTTGTCATCTCCATTTCTTAATGGCAGTTTTTCACCTCCTGTTTAAGTTTCTCTATTATTTCCATAATGTTCCATTTAAAGTTGATTTCTTCTATTTCTTCTGCAGTAGGGTGTTCAATTCTTTTTGTTTCATGATCCTTGGATTCTCGTGATGTCATGTTGCTTTTCAAGTTGTTGGAGGAATTCTTGCATCAGTGCCTGCCCATCTCTTCCTTCAAATGGAGCCAGGAGAGTCATGGTGTCTTGGTTCAGTCTTTGCTGTGACTGACTCTCTGGGTGGATCTCTTCAGTGCAGGAGCAGGAACTGTTCCTGTCTGGATGGTAGTCCTCAGCACAGACACAGGGTCTCCTGGTAGTCCAAAGACAATGCAGACAAAAGAGCAAATGTGAGGGTAGGGAAGGGTGAAGTCAAACACAGGAGACCCTGCAGCACAAGCTGAAGGTACCCGTACTCCCTTGCAGGGACCTTATGGCCTGCCTGGATGGCAGACCCTCACCCCTCTATGTGAATAGCCTTAGTGCAGGAGCAGAAACTGTTCCTGGGCCAAGGACATTGCAGACAATAGGGCAGGCTTGGGGGATGCCGGGTTTTCTTGACTTTCTATTTTAATGTTGAAATAAGAGCGGCAGCAGGGCTGCGTCCCCAACACCCCGACTGCTTGGCTAGCTCATGCCCGAAATAACAACACACAAACTGTATTCATTTAACTGCTTGACCCATTTCTATCTAGCCTCTTCTAGGCTAATTCTCACATATTAATTTAGCCCATTTCTAATCATCTGTGTAAGCACCTCAAGGTGTGCTTACCGGGAAGATTCTAGCCTCCGTCCATCATGGTGTCTCTGTTCCAGAGAGCAGAGCTGTTCGGTCCCTCTCGAAGCAGAGCAGATTCTGACCTCACTTCCTCTTCCGCCTAGCATCCTATTCTGTTTCCTCCTCCCATCTATGTTCTAAGCTATGAGGCCAAGCAGTTGGTTTATTATAATTAAACAATTACCTTCCTCCATCATTTTAAGTGTTATCTGGTCATATTCTGTATTAGCATAGGAATTGTAAAGCTTAGTTTAGGGCAGAGTCATATAATCATCCAATCAGTTAAAATGAAATGTATCATATACATGAGGATTCCTTTAAAGGTTCTGGGGAGACAACTCATTGGTAAGCATTTACCAAACAGGCAGAAGGACCTGAGTTCAGATCCCCAGAATGCATGTACAGCTTGAAACATAGTCTCTTTAATCCCAGCATTCCTACTGGGAGCTGAGAGGCATGGTCAGGAAAACCTGAAGGTCCATAGGCCTGCTAGTTTGGCATATGCATCAGTGAACAACAGGGCACTCTATATCTAATGAGGTGGAAGTTTATCTTCTGCTCTTCACATGCATGCTGTTGTACATGTGCTTACATTCATGAAGACACACACACACACACACACACACACACACACACACGAACCCGAGAGAGTTGGAGAGAGTAAGGAAGGGAGGAGAAAGAAATGGGGTCTTGGGAAAGAAATACAATTCATCTCCTCCTCCAGAACAGAAACAGAAAACACACAAATATCAATTTGTAATCTCTGAACCATGACATTGGCACACAAATCATCTATATGGCTGTTTTTTAATTACTTTAAAAATAAATATTGATTATTTACCATGTAAGAAAATGCTGTATTATTAGAGATAAAAATGAGGAGTCTAATCTGTTATTGATTTTCACAATGGAAAAAAAGGAGTAGCTTAAGCAAAATCAGAAATGTCCATTTATAAAATCAATGCTTCATGAACCCCCCCCAAAACAGTGGTTTGAGTAATCAGACATGCTCTTCTACAATAGAAAGCACATGTGCCAAATTTTATAATGGGTTTGAAAGAGGGTAATATGGGATTCTTGAGGCTGAATTTAAATCCTGTTACTCAAACCCAGTATGAAATCATCATGACTGGGGATGGAGTTATATGTATAATTCTACTTTGGTATTATTGAGAACATGTTTTGAAAATTTACTGATTCAACCTGTTTCATTTTCTGCTTGCACACACACAGGCTGAGATGAAAAGGCATAAGTAAATATCTTTTTGGTTCTTCACTCCCTGTAACATTATCTTAAATCATTTCAGAATTCAGCAGCCAATATATGTGGAGAATAAGATTCTTGCTAACTGCAACACGAGGTGTAACTGTTTAACCAACACATGGGATCCAGTGTGTGGAGACAATGGAATAGCATACATGTCAGCCTGCCTTGCAGGCTGTGAGAAATCTGTTGGAACAGGAATTAACATGGTAAACATCTTTTCAGTGTTGGAGGCTGATGTTTTGTTCACTGAATTAATATGTGCTATGATCTACACCCTACTCTTCTAAAGATGAAAATTAGTACATGATTAATATAGATATAAATATTTTTGTGAACAACTAACTTTCCTTTGTATATGCATATTTGACCTCACAGTTCCAGATGTTAAGTAAAGCCCTGACAGAGTCTGAAACTTATTTTGTAATTTAAGAGCAATTGAGACCAATTTTCAAATCTTTAGACTTAAAATACTAAGAATGGGTGGTAGAGCTAGCTTGTCAGTAAGAGCACTTGCTGCTCATTCAGTAAACTTGTTTGGTTCCCAGCACCAACAGGGAAAGCTCACAACTCCAGCTCCAGGCAATCTGACACTCAATCTGACCTTCCTCAGGCATCACATGCACCTGTTTAATACACACAGAGAAGCACACACATAAACATTAAAACTAAAACTGTAAAATGTAAACTGATCTTTTTTGTGATAGAGACTCATAAAGTCGAGCCACACTCAAACAAGTTGTACAATTAAGAAAGACAGAAATCTTATCTTTTCAATTACAAACTTGTTTCATTTATTTATTTATTCAGTTTTTTTTTGTGTGTGTGTATGTGCTGGAGGAGTGAGATTGTTTGCTCTGGCCATCAGGAACTAAAATAACCACATAGAAACTGTATTAATTAAAAACATTGCTTGGCCCATTAGCTCTAGCTTCTTATTGGCTAACTCTTATATTAATTTAACCCATTTCTATTAATTTGTATATTGTCATGAGGTTGTGGCCTACCAACAAAGTTTCAGCACATCTATATCTGGTGGTGGCCCGATGGTGTCTCTTTCTCCTCCTTCCTTCTCCCAGCACTGGGTCCAGCTTTCCCTCACCAACCTAAGTTCTGCCCTGTCAACAGGCCAAGACAGTTTCTTTATTCATTTACCAATAAAAGCAACACATAAACAGAAGGACCTCTTACATCATTTCCCCTTTTCTGTTGAAACAAAAAGGAAGGCTTTAACATAGTAAAATTGCATATAACAAAAAGTTATAAAACAAGAATTATAGTTAAAATATTTATATCTATTTTATCTTTTATCATAACTAAGGGAAACTATATATTCTTTAACACCATCAAAGACTCCAGAAAGATATACAATTACCTAAGAAAACAGGAAGTGCATTGCAAGCAACTTTCAAATCTCAAGAATTGACAGAGACATTTTGCAACCTGGACAGTCACCCAAAGTTCTTTTATATCATTGCAGAATTCATCTTCAGCCTACTGGGCCATATTATCCAGCAGACTTATCCCTAAGGCAGGAAATTTCAAAGATATTTCCACCTATAATGGCAGTTTGTCAGTAATTTTTTTCTGTGTCCTGCAGAATGTCTCTCAGTTATTTGTCATATAGCAGGAACCCTGAAGGACCATCTCACCTTTAGGCAAGTTCAGTAGTCATTTCTCTGTGAACCCTGGATATTCAGTTCATTGTTCTAGGCAGGAGTAGTTTCTTGTCCAAATGGCTATCCAACTCTATAAGGAGCCTCTTCAATGCCCATCTTCCTCTTGAAGTAGCTGGTGTTGCCAGGAACAGATGTGTCTCACTGACATGAAAAGTCTTACGTTCTTAAACATTTTAAATGCCATATTCTGAAGGTCTCTGAAAGATTTGAAGAATACCTAGGTAACTGAAATATATCTTTATCCATCTAGAAAATCTAATTTAAATAACTACAAGTTTGACTATTATAGATGAGTATCTATTAACTTATATTTCTAAATTATACACTACATTTTTAAAGGAGCTACACAAACACAATACCTTAATCAAGATCAGAAATATATATACATATAACAAAATTGACATTAAATTTATATCAGTAAACCAAGATCCATACCAATGCAAATTATTCATTGCTATAGCATATCCTGCTTTAAATGTAAACAAACAATTGGGAACAATATTTTGGAATAAAGATTTAGCTCTGTCTATACTACTTACAGCTGTTTCTGGGTCCTGTTATTCAAGTCTTTCATAGTCTATCCTCTGCGCTAGGTTCATCTCAGTCAGCAGTTGGAGGAAGTAATTTTTTGAGGGTGTTCACAGAGGCCTTTCAGAGGCTAATGTTCTTTCAAACCATATTGATCTGGAAGTGATCCACAGATTCTCATATTCTGTGACAACATGAAAAGAACCTCTTTTCTAAAACAACATATCTTTGACTCAAGTTTTGAAATCAACATACCTTTATGTTGGTTTAATTTAGCAATTCATACAACGAAATATCTCTTTGTGCTTAGCTATTTCACAGTCAAAAATTCAAAGAAAACACAATAATATACATAATCCATACTCTCTGTGCATTTTTCATCTTTACATGGCTTATTTTTTTACTTCTTTTAATCTATGACTATCTGTACTCTGCCTCTTTAAAGACTTTACACTTTTTAAAGCTTTAATTTTATTTTATGACTCTTACTACTCTTTTTCTTCTATCTTCCAAGCCTACATACATTTATACACTATGACTTACCTGCATTTGTCTTTAATGTATATTTGTAATTATTTTCTGACCAGAAGTGCTTCTAAAAATGCTAAGCGCTCAAGAATATAAGCTGTGACATTACTAGGCTACATAGGGTACTTCCTGCTTGCTGTGCCCATTCCAACATGGGCACTGCTCACTGCTTCCAACAGCCACACACAGCCCCTCTTCCAAGCACATAGCCAGTCCACATTGCCATTAAGCAAGCCATAGTACATTTCTCACAAACCACATCCAAATACTTTGTCTTCTGAAAGAGCCAGAGGTCATGCTGGCAGCAGGTCTCAAAAAGCCTGCATTTCAAAATGGCATGGCCGTTCTTCTTTTGCTACTGCTAAATCAGGAAATCCTCTCCAAAAGAGCCATGCCCCTGCTTGCTTCTATTAAACAGAGCCAACCCTAGAAAATGCTGCCACCAAACTATACTTAGCTCCAGTCTTTTGTGTCTAGGATCTCTTTTTATGCTTTCTTAAGTTTGCATGAATGAAGTTATCCATGTTTGGACCAATCTGTTGGAGGAGTGATGCCACTTGTTTTTCCTGGCTTCTCAGAACCAAAATAACCACTCAGAAACTATATTAATTAAAACACTGCTTGGCCCATTAGCTCTAGTTTTTTATTACTGTACTTAGCTATTTCACAGTCAAAAATTCAAAGAAAACACAATAATATACATAATCCGGACTCTCTGTGAATTTTTCATCTTTACATGGCTTATTTTTTTTACTTCCTTTCCTTATTGCCTAACTCTTATATTAACTTAACCCATTTCTATTAGTCTGTACATTGTCAAGAGGCTGTGGCCTACCAGCAAAGTTTTAGCAGATCTATATCCCGCAGCAGTTCCATGGCTTCTCTCTCTATCTGCCTTACTTTTCCCAGCATCCAGACCACTTTTCCCCACCTACCTATGTAAAGTTTTCTCTATCAACAGGCCAAGGCCGTTTCATTATTCATTAACCAATAAAAACAAAAGATAGACAGAAGGAGCTCCCTCACTTTGTGTGTGTGTGTGTGTGTGTGTGTGTGTGTGTGTGTGCATGTGCAGGTGCATGTGCATATGGAGGTCAGAAGACAACCTCTGCTGTGGACTCTCAGGTCCCATTAACTTGGACTGGAATTTGCTTATTCTGTTAGGCTGCCCAGCAAGTGAGCCCCAGGGAGTCATCTCTTTTGTCCTTTAGAGCACCAGTGTTGTGAGCACTTTTTCTACACATGCATGTTTCACATGTGTGCTGGGTATCTGAACTCAGGTCCTCCAGCCTGTGCAGGACTTTACTGATTATGCCTTCTCCCCAGACCACATCATTATAGCTCAGCAGATGAAGAGATAAGCATTTTTCCCTGTCTTTTACATGTTATAATACTTAAATAATTGAATGGTATTCAATATAAAATATAAATTTTTATTCTTAATCATACCTAGAAACATAATTCAATAAAAAATCAATGTTTTTCTTAAAATAAACTTGTTTTCTTGGGGACTTCATTAGTAAGCATGTAACTTGGTAGTTGTCTATCACCTTTCTGAAACACATTTTGTTTTTGTACTTAGTACTGGGCCAAAACAAAACAATATTTGTTTACTTTTAAAAAAAAAGTATGTGAAGGTTAGAAAGTTGGCTCAGTGGGTAAAGACATTTGTTCCTAAATAGTACCAACAGTGCTACATCTCGGGCCCCATATGAAAGAAGAAGAGAAATAACTCCCATAACTTATCCCTGACTTTTATTTCAATGCCATGGCATATTCATGTCCACAATAAACACACACACATACATAGGCATGCCTATACATAAATATATATATATAAATATATATATATATATTTGTTTGCTTGTTTCATTGATATATATATATATACATAGATATATAGATACAAAAATCTTAATAGTGCATATATGCATTCGGGATAATTGAAATTTTGCAAATGTACTTCATGCATTTAGAATAAAATTCAATACTTTTTTAAAAATTTGTCCCTTTATATTTTAAAATAAATTCTCACATGCAAAAAACAGAGCTGGAAATAAAGGGGAAAAACCTCCATTTTAATTATATAGTAATTAATTAATGGTGCCTGTGTTCCAACAGATTCATGATAGATCAGTGTTCCTCCTCTGAGTAGTACCTTGTCCTCAACTCTTTCCATTTTCTCTAATTGGCTATGTTGCAAATACTAAACATTTGTACCCAATAGTTTTTTCTGCAAATTGGACATTGTTTTTTTGTTTATTTGTTTTTTTTCATTTTGATTGTTGTTACAGGTGTATCAAAATTGCAGCTGCATTCAGTCTTCAGGAAACTCATCTGCAGTTCTTGGGCTTTGTCAAAAAGGCCCTGACTGTACTATAAAGCTGCAGTACTTTTTCATCAGGGCAGTAATTGGCAGTTTCTTCAATGCTCTAGCAGCAATTCCTGGGTATATGGTTCTTCTGAGGTAATAAGTAACTTGTTCATTTATCTTCTCTCTCTTCCTCATAGCAGTGTGTGCATACATGAGTGTATGATTGTGTTTGTGTGTATGTCTGTGTGTGGCTGGCTAGCTGGCTGGCTCCTGTGTGCCACTGAGAGCAGGGGAAGATCAAAAGACAATGTTGGGAATCAGTTCTCTCCATTTATCTTACTTCTGAGGCAGCGTCTTTTCTATTTCCACTGCCATGCTGGCTTAGTACTCCAGCTTACCTGGCCTTCAAGTTCTAAATATTTCTGTTTTCTCCTGTTTCACTATAGGAATACTGTGTTTACTGATGCATGTCACTGAATTGGGCTTTGATATTTCTCTTTCTTTACATATGTCTCTGTGTCCTCGTTGTTGAACTCAGGTCATCTAGCCTTGTGGCAAGCATCTTTACACAAAGAATACCCTACCAATGCCATTTAGATTTTTTTTGGTCATTTATTAAAATTCCTTTTCCCAAAAAAGACTCTTGGAGTAATGGTTCCCAGAACCTAAATGTTCTGAGTTACCTTTTTCAAGATTATTAATACAAAAACAGTATTGCTACATTTAAGAGTAATGTAAAGTTTGTTTGAATTTCTCTTCTGGTTCTTTTGTATTTTCTCCCTTTGTGTCTTATGCCTAAATTAAGGGACATCTTGTTTTGGAGGGAGATAGTATTTGCCTACACCCATTTCCTATGCTCAGCTAAGTGACTGGCAAAATGTGAAACTCTCTGTGTAAAAGTGACCAGGCTCCCTTGACATCCTGAACTCAAACTGTCTTTATCAAAAGTATAACTTCAATAATATTATCTGACCAGAGACACATGAATGCAGTAGTGGATGCTCCCTAATGAGAAGGAATAAGAATACAATAGTAGATACTCTAATCTCTAATATAAAGAGAGAAAGTGGCAGAGTGAAGTTTCAAGTTATTTTCTTCTTCCACATGTCCTTTCTAGTCTCACAAACTTAACAGAAACCATCAATGGGGAGACTGGTCAACCCTTTTCTTGTCTCAATGGGATTCAAAAGAAAAGTTGTTAATTAAAATGTGTCATTCAAAATATTTTATCCAAATAGACTGGACCAATGTTCTCAGTTCTCCCTTATAGGCACCTGTGCTTTTCTCTGTCCTTGCCCACATTCCCTTTTGATTTCTTCCCCTCCTCCTTCTCCTTTTCCAAATCTCTTTCCCATTACTTTTCCCTCACTTTGTTCCTCTTCTGTCATGATGCCTCTCCTCTCCTGTCCTCTCTTGTCTGCTCCTGTTCTCTCCTCTCCTTTCCATCCCTCTCCTCTTGTCTTCTCCCTTCCCTCTTCCCTGGATTTCTCCATTTGCCCTCTCCCTGACATTTCCGTTCCTTGACTTTGGTCCTTCTTTCCCTCTACTTCTACCCACCATAGCACTCACTGAAATAGGCTAGATATATGTTTTTATATATTCATTTTCAAAGGTAAGATGTGATATTTTTATATTCACACAAGTGGAGATGTAGTATATGCCTTGTTTTAGTTCAAGACAGATAAACACACCAAATACTACTAGTTCTGTAGACTTATTGAGTGAGATTTGGCCATGACATCTGTCACCCCATCATGTTTCAGGCTGATTAAGCTCATGTGGCTACAAAATGTCCCCTTTCTTTCTCAATACTCCAGGTGCCTCTGTTCCAAAGCAGCATGCTCAGTTGATAAGGATAAGTACTTCTCATAGAGGAGGATGGTCCTAGGTAAAGGGAATATGAGCAGCTGATCCTTTAACCACATTCCCTGTTCCCACTTCCATGTCCCAATCAGTATTTCAATTAACCTCATTTCTGAAATTGACTCTTCAACTGGATGTAAAGTTCGGTCCCATAGATGCTTTAATGTGTGAATTTTTAAAAAATTTAGTCTCTCTCTCTCTCTCTCCCTCTCTGCATGTGTGTATATGTATGTATTTCTATGTGTGGGTTTGCTTGCTATGGCATGCATGTTGAAGACACCTTGCAGAAGTTGGTTCTCTTGCTACTAAGTAGATTCCCATTATTGAAATCAGTTTTACAATCTTGATGGCAAGTAACTGTACCGACTGAGCCATCTTGTATATCCTAATGTGTGGCTTCTTGATGTAATGAGTTTAAGGTCTATTCAAATAAAAATTTTCATACTTCTTTGCTCTATTTTGCAATGTAAATAATAGATGGCATAGTATTAATATTTGCATACTATTGTTACTCTTCTGTTATGTTTTCTTGAATTCTTCGATGGAATCACTGACAAAATGAAATCCCAGCAGCTGTATTTCTTACACAGGGGTGTATTTGATGAGGAAAGACCACATTTTAAAAGGATTTTCATGTTTATAATTTATAAGAATATTTTTCAGATGTTATCCTGACTGCTTTATAAGCCTCCTCTTTGTATGCGATTCTCAAATCTATCTTATCTAATTTTGTAGGTGGTACAGGAAAGACAAATATCTAACATTTTTAACTCCATATAACAAAAGCCTTATCTTAATGTCATAGCCTACATGATGCAGTCTTTCTTTGTTTATGTGGATCGCATTTAATATTACTTGAATTTTTATATAATATGTATTAGATTTTTATTATCAGAAAAAAATGCTGTCAAACAAATTGAAAAGATTTATTTGGTTTGTGGTTTCAAAAGTTTTGGTTCATTGTTTTGGGTATAAGAGTACTGTATGGTGGTCACCATGGTAACCTAGGTTATCTAGGTTAGCAGTCAGTGTCCAACCGTTAAAGGGTTTCATCCTGAATCAGATGTGTGAATGTCACAGTAAAGCTATCAGAAGTCCCTACTCTCTTTCTTTGTGTATGTTTAACAGAGATAGAGCTGTATTGTCTTCTCTTCATGCTTAAAAGCTTACCCATTAGGTTCATGAACTGAGACTGTCATTGGGAGGATGTTAGGACAGATATTTGTTTGCATGATGTACTTTTATTTACGTGAGTATTGTTTTTCAGGTGTATCAAGTCTGAAGAGAAGTCTCTTGGAGTTGGATTACATGCATTTTTCATAAAAGCATTTGGTATGAACAATTTTCCCAAATATCAGATCAATATCAAATGCTTAGTAAACAAATTAAATTTTTCATTCTTTTTTTTTTTTTTTTTGATTTTTCAAGACAGGGTTTCTCCGTAGCTTTTGGTTCCTGTCCTGGAACAAGCTCTTCTAGACCAGGCTTGCCTCAAACTCACAGAGATCTGCCTGCCTCTGCCTCCTGAATGCTGGGATTAAAGGCGTGCACCATCACCGCCCAGCTTTAAACTTTTCTGAAGAAAAAGACAGCAACTATATTTTTAAGAAAAAACACAACACTCACCAGAAAGGGGAAAAAGACTTTAATTTGCAATCAAAGAAGAATCATCATGTATGCAACAGAGATTTAGACCATCCAAGTATCAAGTTTCAACATGTTGACTGTTAGGGATGTTTCTAGTTGGAGAATAGCAGCAGTCATGAATGAGAAGCTTCTCAAACATATCTATGGGGATGTCCAGTAGGTTGGAGACAGCATAGAATGTAATCTGCAGGTTCAGATGCTGTTTGACAGCATCCTTAGTGTTTGGCTGTAGGATAGTATACTGTTAACTCAATCCACCCACAAAGCCTTTATGTGATAGATCCATGGATATATGGTCCGAAACAGGGATGTAGCAATGAATGACAAAAAAGGGAGAGAAAGGGTAATTTGTCTCTGGATCTGTACTATCCCAGCTGTCCACATCCAGGAAGCTCATTTGACCTCATGGCATCTTTAACATAGGTGTGCTCTGCCCATGTTATGCTGAATTTCATTTTGAAACCCCTATGGTTAGAAATGGCTACTGTTAATTAGTCTGAGAATGAAGTAACTGCAGAGATGAAAAATGTTTCCCTTTGTTTTTAAAGAACTTATTTCACTTTAATTAAATTTTTCATCTTTTAGTACATTCAATAATAATATGAAAATGAAACAGTTTTGTATTTTTAGATGTACAGAAAACTGAACAAGACATTTCAGAAAATAAATGAGGTTCATAATTATGAATTCAATGCATACTTCTATAGCATTTTATACATAATTTTAATTTGTTTTGATCTAGGAATTTTATATTAACTGATAAATCCTTAACATAAGCATAGAGACACTTATTCATTATTTTTATATTCTTTTTAAATAGGGAAAGAGAAAAAACTTTCTATTCTCTTTGCTTTCTTCTTTTCAACGGGCTGTTTTTCTTTCTCATTTTATTGCAGCGGGCATTCCAGTACCTATTTACTTTGGTGCCTTGGTAGACAGAACTTGTTTACACTGGGGAACTCGGAAATGTGGGAAGGCAGGGGCTTGCAGGATTCATGATACAAATAACTTCAGGTAATAATAATTTTGTGACATACGATTTTAGTACAAAAATTTTCTATTCATATGTAACATTTCGAGTGGTAAGGTGATATTTGATTCATTTTTAGAATACATTTGAATAGTATAACTTCCTTATTTATGTATTTTAATATATGTGTTAGTTTTTTTTATCATCAGAACAAATGCTGCCAAACAAATTTAAAAGATTTATTTGGTTTGTGGATTGGTGCATATAAATGTGAGTGGGCTTCTTAACCTAACCCTTTTAAGTACTTTCAAAAGAGAACAGGCTGTAGACATGGATACTCTGAAGCAGTAGAGAGGAAGCTGCATCTTCAGGTGTGCCAGCAGGGCAAAATACCAGTAATAAACAGGACAGCAATATCTAGAGACCAGGGACCATGAAACAGTAGGTTGGAACAAATCTCTCAGCTTTTACCACCCTATACCTATGGACTCTTCCCTTTTGCAAGGGACAGGATAACAGTCCCAGCACATTCAAGCATCAAGGATCCTGACATTCTAGCCTCTGGAAAATTCACAACCCTCTCATTATTGCACCCTTATATACTAAGAACCCCAAATGTGTGTGCTGGCCTTGCAGTTTAATAGAACATGTCAGGTGCCTTAGCCAGGGGCTATCTTGAGAAGGGACCTACCTGCTACCTGAATTTGACTAATGGTCTCATCTCTGAAAACTTAGAGATACTCCACTGCACTTAGTGTTTGGCTGTCTCATGAACAAAATGTGGCTCAGTAGAGGAGTATGCCTCAAGCCAGATGTCCAAAGCATGAGGATGTTGCCACACATAGAAATAACTGAAACCATTACCATCAAGATCCACCAGACCAGGAAACCTGTCCTCTGAGATCTAGGTGCATCCAGTTGTGCTCTTTTATGCTATGGCTTTCAACTACATGCAGTACCTGCATGGTTCTCATCACTCTAAGTGCTATGCAGGCACCTGCCATTAAGAGTATAGTGAAATAGTTGTGGGTTCACTGCTGCCTCATTTCCAGAGGTTATTCTAGGCTGATCTTGAACCAGACTTAGTTTGTTACCTTGCTGATTTTAGAGGGCAGCATTTCTAAGAAAGCCCACAGAGAAGCTTTGCTTGCTACAGACTGCACTGGGCTCCTTCTTGCTAGAAAAAAAAAGCTATAGATAATTAGATAATATTCATTCATTTATGTTGGGATGAGCAATATACTGAAATTCTGGGAAGAAAAGTGCTGACCTGTCCTCAAACATGTCTGTTCTGACCAGCAGACATGCCATTCCCAGGCTTGTGTATCCATAGTTAACAGTGTGGAAGATCTTAATTACATCTTTTAGTGTATCTGTGTAGATTAAAGTTCTATTTGCCTTAGTATCCCATAATACTGGCATGTAACCTAGATTTGTGAACTAAATTGACCCCTTCTTTCTTTTAGTTGATTTTTCTTAGGGTCTTTTATAAAAGTGAAAAAACATAAACTGATAATTTTTAAGCTATTATTCCTTTAGAAAAATATTTCTGAATTGTTATATTTGAAGTCTTAGGCATCTACACATATATCCTATTCTTATGTTTTAACACTGTAAAAGTAAGTAAGATTAATTTCTCTATCCTTTCATGGTCTTGGGTATCCTGTGTAAGGAATGATCCTGTCCCATGACTCTATTCACAGGTCAATAAAATCCATACAGGCTTTCACTGAATGTTGTAATAAGAGCAGCAGGGCTGCGTCCCCGGCACCTGGCCACCTGCACTGCTAGCTTTATACCCGAAATAATTACATGGAAACTGTATACATTTAAACACTGCCTGGCCCATTAGTTCCAGCCTCTTATTGGCTAACTCTTACATATTGATCTAACCCATTTCTAATCATCTGTGTAGCCCATGAGATGGCTTACCAGGGAAGATCTTAGCCTGCATCTGTCTGGAGTGGGAGAATCATGGTGACTCACTGACTCAGCTTCTTTCTCCAAGCATTCTGTTCTGTTTACTCCACCCACCTAAGGGTTGGCCTATCAAACAGGTATAGGCATTTCTTTATTAAGTAGCCAATGAAAGCAACAGATTAGAAAGAAATCACTCCCACATCAACTGAAACTTCCTTCTCAGGAGATTCTAGATTGTAGTAAGTTGACAACAGTAACCATCACACCAGATTTTCCTACAAATATGTTGATAACATGAAAGAATGCTTTCATAGTTATTTAGAAATGTACATATAAAAATACCTAGTCTCCATACACATGAAATCCATAAATCTTAAGGCATATTTTATCAAATTTATAAAGAGAGATAATTATGATAGTATAAAAGATATTCTCTGAAACGGTGAAAAGAAAAATTATCTATTTATTTTAGCCTTTATTGTTTTCATGCTTAAACTGCACAAGTTCAGCAAATGAAAAGAATTTGTGGCTAAACATATAGCTCAGGGATTAAGATCACATATTGCTCTAGCAGAGAACATGAGTTCAATTCCCCTTACTGACATTATCAGCTCAAAAATTTTTGTTACTATAATTGAAAGACATCCACGATTCCTTGAATAATGTACACAGAAAGACCCAACACATACATATAGTAAAAAAAAGAAATTGATCTTTATACATGCAAAATTATGCATGAAAATTAACAATTTAAAGCTATTACTATCTAAAGTAACTATTAGGATTTATTTTGGATATACAAAAAATTGCATGTCACAAAAATCTATTGGTATAACACACAAATTCTTAGTAGGAGAGAAATCTTGAAAATTCACTTTATTGTGTTTTATTCATGTGTTATCAAACTCTGAGCAAACAAGACAGAAGATCCCCTTAAACTGACAGGAATATTATTGTCTCAATATTTAAGAAAACAGGTAATAATGGCAGGGGAAGCATAGTGACTTAGTGTGATGTAATTGCAGACAGTGTTTGGCTAGGAGGCTAGTTGTGTTACTTGCTCTGACAGGAAATGTTGAGAGCTACAATCCAAGTGCATGGTATAAGGAACTTCATCCTTATAAAAACATTCTCATAGCACACCAAGAGAGGTCTTTCTATAATGATCCTAAATCCAGTCAAGTTGACAAAGGAAACTAGGAATCACCAAACTTAAGAAATACATTCAAACTATTATGTTTGATTTTTTTGACATTTTAACAAAAAGTATTAATAACTTATCAAAGTAACTTATAGTAAGTACATGGACAAAATAATAACCTGATGTTTTAATTTGAAGAATAAATTATTGGTAAGAGTTTACAAAATTAGATTTCACTGATCATGTTAAGATTTAATACAGATTATTTATTTTCTACAGAAACATTTTCCTCGGGTTGCCAGCAGCATTAAGAGGATCAAGCTTCCTCCCAGCAATCTGCATTCTAATACTTTTGAGGAAGTTCCAACTTCCTGAGGAAACTGAGTCTTCAGAGACTGAACTTGCTGAGATGAAGCTCACAGAGAAGGAAAGCGAGTGCATGGATGTGCACAGAAGTCCTGAGTCTGAGAATGACAGAGAACTGAAAACGAGGCTGTAATAAAATTTCTGTTGATCTATGCAAGTGCATAGACAGTGTGCATTTGCTTCTTTTGAATTATGGGAAGATCTATGGGAGCTCTTTTCTTATCCTTGACCCCAAAAGTTATTTTTAAACATGATAAAAATATTTACTGATATTTCAGAAGCATTAGAATGGCACTTAACGTTTTCCCAGGAAAGAATATAGTGACCCCACCACAATGAACTTTAGAGCTGCCTTCATTGTCAAACATCATTTTCTCTTTTAACTAAATCAGAACAAGTGAACCTTTCTTACCTGTCTGCAAAAAGCTTTAAGACCTTTCCATGATGAAACACTACTTAATTTCATGGAATTATGCTTTGATGTTACATTTATTTAGAGTGAAACATTTTCATCTTGGTTTTGTTACATTGAATTCATTTGTTTAAATTATCCTTTCTATATGCAAGATATTGCCATACTTCTTTAACTAGTTAGAAGTTCTTAATTCTCTTTTTTATTCTAGGTATGATGCTTCAAAATTAGACTTCTTATTAAATGCCATCTGTTGCTTTCAATCTCCTGTTTTATTACTCATGTCATACATTTCATTACTTAGAGCACTGAAAATTTTAATCATGTTTTTAAAAATTATGAAGCATAGATCTTTGGAACTTTTTTTCCTTAGGAATTCAAAGATGGTCATAAAACTCACTCTTAAAAGCTCTTTAAAGAAGGAAGTGCATCATTGAGCTGAATGGTGAGAGTTAAAAGCATTGCCTACTTTCAGTTAAATCTCTGCTTTGTACTTTGGTTGAGGAAGTGACATATCAACTTCCTGCTCCACTCATCATCCCTGTTGCTCCCTGTTATGCCTCTTTGATTTGATGGACTTTCATTCCTCTACTATCATAAGAAAAAAACATTCTCTTTCATCTATCAGTTGTTTTGTGGTATTTTATTATAGCAGCAAAAAGTAATTAATACAGAAATTATCTTATTTTGTGTTTGGTAAAGAATGAAGAGATTTTAAGGAACAACAAACCCCTCTGTTATTTCAGAGGAGGACTATTTGTTTCTGCTCATCATATTTCTTCCTTGGTAATGCAACTCATTCATATAATGATCACATAAATCCGTAAAGATAGGAGGATGAAGGAAGGTAATGTGTGAAACAATCCCACACCAGTTTGGATTTATTATTAAAAAGGTTATTTATTTGAAGGAAAAAAAAACTTACAGAACGCCATTCTAGATATCTGACCTGGTGGCTGGCTTCATGATGTCTGTCCCAAAGAGGAGAGGCATGACGATGGCCTCACTACCCTGTTCCTCCCAGCATTCCGTTTTGTGTAATCCACACACCTAAGGGCTGGCCTATCAAATGGCCAAGGCAGTTTCTTTATTAACCAATGAAATCAACACAAAACAGAAGACCCTCCAACATCAACATGGAGGCATGGTGGTTGTATTTGAAAGATACTCTCTTGTTTCCTTTTCTGATTCTACTTACTCAGGACTATGTATCCAATGTGTACATCTGAGAAAACACAGGTGACAAGATATAGTCAATGGTTAAAACAATCTTTGTCACTATATTCAGAATACCTGCAAATATTTCAAAGCCATAGCCAGTTGATATCCTTTCATTTCTAGGAGTGGTGGTGATCAAAGATATATATATATATATATATATCCTTTTGATGTGTTAGTATTTGGCCTAAAGATTTAAAGTACAGTTAACTGATTCTTTTACATGTCTGAAAGTTTAGATTTGTGATCTTTGTATGATTTCTTATAAGATTGTCTTTCATGATAAGTAAAAACGTGATTGCTCCTTTCTTTATAATAGCAAAACACAATCTGCCAGTATAAGAATATCTTGCTTGCTTAAACACTGTTCATCTATATCAAGTTGCTTCAGTATGAATGTGTGTGGGTTCTTGAAACAGCTTGCTATCAGTCTAATACATAAAATTTTTAATCATATAAGGGATATGAAAAGCATGCTGGTTTTTAGTTGAATTATTTGTAATCCTTCACTTGAAAAACAGTATGTAACCACATTATAACTTTTATAGTGCCTGAAAGATTTTGCATGGATATATATAAGCTAAAAAAGAAAGAATATAGAGTTAAAATGAGTTGGAAGGAAAACATCAAGAATGAGAGAGTTAACATCAGTTAGAAAGAAAACATCAAGAATGAGAGACTTAGATAGAACTAGAAGATAAATATCAAGAATAAAGTTAGAGTTATATGGATAACCTCAAGTATAAGAGAATAAGAAGAATAAAGATAGAGTTAGAAAGAAACCATCATGAATAAAAGAAGGACTAGAGAATGTAGAAGATGAATAAAGAAAAGAGCTGAGAGAAGTCATCCAGAGATTATGTAAGTTACTTTTCCCTTTCCCACCACCTCAGATATTAAAAAGTCCAGAAACATGTGTGAGTGTTTATATGTGTGTGTGTGCGTGCGTGTGTGTAAAATTCAATCATATTTTGTATTTATGGGTGTTTGTCCTGTGTGTATTTGTATACCAGAGGGATGCATTTTCATAAGAGACTAGAAAAGGACGTTGGATCCTTTGGAACTATGGTTATACCTGGTTCTGAGATACTTATGTCGCTGCTGGGAATTGAATTGATGCCTGAACTGCTGAGACGTCTTTCCAATCCCTAATTTTATATTTATAGTTGTAAAATATTTCAAAATATTTCTTGTGTCACAAAGAGATGTTTTGGCTATAATTATAGATATATCTTTGTTGATTATTTTCTTAAGGTTGATCAGTAGCAAAGAATTACAATGAACTAGGTAAGTTATTTTCATTTAATAAATGTTGAAATATATTTCTTATACAAACAATAAATTTATACATTATCAACAACAAAAAAGATAAAAAAGAATTGACTTCTGCTGGTGAATCCAGGGAAGCCTGTCTAAAGAGATATTAAAGATTTATTATTATATACTCACTGATACACAAGATAGATAGCCACCATAGTCAATGGAAGCAGTAGTGTTATGTCCAACCACCAAATGGACAGAGTGTGAATGCCTTCCTCTTTCCTTATAAGAGGTTCCATCTGCAGACAAGAAGCCATGCCCAAGGTCACTATTCCTAATCTCTTCTCAGAATGTATATCAACATTTTTCTTTTTGTCTAAATAAAAAGGTTCTAATCCTAACATAAAACTGTTTACAATAACAACAATTATCAATTATTTCCAGGAGAAATAATGGGTAATAACATACACAAAAATGGAACTGCAACCAACAAGAACAATCTCAAACAGGAAACACATAATATATGTCCAGGCTATAGATAATTGACATTACAGAGATTACTCCAATTGCTGTCCTATCCTGAGGAATGTAAGTCTTGTACCTAATATACCTAGCTAAGATAAGAGAGAATAATAACTCTGACCATGTAGTATACGACCACATCAGAGACTTAAGAAGGGAAATATTAATTTCGTAAGCAGAGAGTGAAAGCAAGAGACTTTTAAAATGCAAAAAAAAAATGTCTAAAACTGTTGGTTACTTGGACAGTCATCAAAATTCTCTCTGCAATGTTGGGGCAAACAACTTGTCAAGTTGCATCATATCATGCCCGCAATATTTCTACACTAGCAGTGTAATGACAACCTTTTCATAAAGGGACTTTAGATAGATTAGTATTGGAAGGCATTTTGAACAGCAGACACTCCTAGAAATTATAGTTCTTGGTTAATGAATAAAGAATCTGGCTTGGACTATGATTGGGCAGAGTACAGCTCAGCAGGCAAAACTAAACAATACTGAGAGAAAGAAGGCAGATTCGTGAGAAGCTGTGGAGCTGTCAGAGGAGAAAGATATGAGCTGCTAACTGGAACCTTGCTGGTAGGCCACAAACCTCATTGTAAAATATGAAATAATGGAAATGAGTTAATTTAAGATATATGAGTAAGTCAGACATATGCTTAGAATATTGGCCAAACAGTATTGCAAATAATATTGTTTCTGTGTGATTATTTCAAGTCAGGGCAGTATGGAAACAAACAAGTGACCTCCAATAACATATTTGGTCTTGGGACAATGATAGAAAACCTATAAAGGAGACTTTTTAATGGTTCAGTGGGTAAAAATCAGTTGTTGCCATGGACATTTACCTGAATCACAGCCCTAAAACCCATGAGGTGGAAGAACAATACTGACTCTTGCCAGATTTCCTCTGACCTATGCATGTATGCATAGCACATATTCAACATGCACACACACACACACACACACACACACACACAAAATAAATAAGTCTAATGAATTTTTTTCAAAAACCATAAAGAGAACTTTTAGTACAATGACTCTAAATGGCATATAAAAAGTTTGTCATGTATTTGCTATTAAATTAATGTTAAATCAGATTTTAATGATCAGAGTTTTGGTTGTATCAAAATAAAAAAAAAATATGAAACAAGTCTGGTACCTAAAAACAGTTTAAATAGAGCTCTATAAAAATTCTGTATTCACAAAGTTATCTGTGCTGGATAGTTTTATGTAAACAGGCATAAAGACAAGCAATAAGCTAGACAGTGAATATATGCATCTGCTAGAAGAACAGGAATTTTAGTTTTTAATGTGTGTGTTGGAGAGCTCTAGTAGGCCTCTGTTTTCAAGTATTAGGGCTTCCAAAAGGAGATTGTAATTGGACCAATGCTATCAATTCCTTTTGATCTCTCTAAACACTTCTTAAACTTTGCCATTTCAAAAGAGCTAGATTCACTGAGTCCACTAATTAATTTTTTACTTTCAACTTTGTGCCTTTTAAGATTAGGGGCTAGTGGGTCATTGGTTTGTGGTAGCTTTCAAGGGAATTCACAGTTTGGATTTTGAACTTCAAATATGTGGGTGATGATGCATTGAGATGAGACTGTTGATTCAGCTGTTTGAATGTTTTGTAATTAAATACAGGGAAAGATGCCAGAATGACAAAATTAATCAACAGTCCTCACATACATATCATGCCTTCATGATATGTATGTCACTTATTATATGAACTCAGATGCCTTAGGGTCTA